CACGTTTTGTTCTGAACGCCCCTAGTTTTCTTCCAACCTACTCGTACACCAGAAAGCATTGCACGTCGGGGCAGTCGGTGGTTGGGCATACGTAACACGTTCCAGCCATCTCAACTGATGAAGTTTCACTACTTCGTAAATCGATTTGCCATCCTTACCTAGTACCCGTTTCCTAACAACTGGATTACTTACCCGGTGGTCCCAGGATATACGAGCAATGTTTTGAAGACACCGATGATCGAACACTAGTAGCCTACGAGTATCCTCTATTCTTATTGGTTTTAGTCAATATATATGGAACTCTTAGTATGGGATATCCACAATCTTGTAATAACTAGTACTCTCCTTGAGATTTGACGCCGCATCACTCACTATCAAATTTAGAGACATTACCATTGAGATATTATAGTGAATGGTAGTTATTATTATATTTGTAGATGGTATTTGATTAGCAACCATCTCTGGAACCTCAATCAGAGAATTGTGAAAGTCATTGTAAGTAGTTTTGCTCTATGCTTGTGAAACCTGCCTCTTCCAGTTCAGGATGTTATATAAATCTCTGTGTTTGATCATCGTTGTCTCCGAAGGATTGTTGACATCCAGTGTTTATTTATTATATTTATTTAAACACAGATAGTGGTACAAGGAAGCACCAGATATATATACACCGCACAAATACCATTTGACTTGTGTGATGAGGGCTGTGATACTGCCCTGGTGCCCAAACTGAAGCATGTGGTTTTCTTAGGGAGCCACACCCAGAGCCTTTGACCTAAAAGTCTGATCCACAAGGCAGTGGAACAACGTCAGTAGATGCAGTCCCATGGTTGTCGGTGACCAACGATTTATTTATACGCCATTTGTTCCCTCAGGATACTGGAGCCAGCCCATGTTCACCATTGATTTGGAATCAGGGTTTACCAACTCCCCTAGGTGAACTCGCCGTGTCCACCATCTACCCGGTTATGGCGCCGGACATTCGCTTTTCGTCCTCTCGATTTCGTAAACAACAGTAATGTCGCTAGAAGTCAGTGAGTAGAACTTCCGTGGCAGAGGCTATATACGCGTGACCATGTGAGAGCATTTTTCGAGGGAGAGCGGACTCTCTCCACTCTCGGCCGTACCAGGGCATTTGGGGGCATCCAGTTACAACACCATGTTAGTAATGCAAAGGTTCGGCATTTTGTGTTTGGGTACAGCGACGATAATTCAATTAGTGTCACTATCTTGAAACGTCGACTTCGGTGGCTTGAAAAAATCTTACGAATGTCGTCCCAGAGTATCCCACAACGTAAATTATTTGTTGACGTTGAAACCGGTTGGAAAAAGCGGTGGTCAGTGCACGACATGGTGTCGTAATGGGAACTAAGGCTATGAATGACTGTTTTCTGATAGTGCAACACAGTGGCTGGAGACGTTATCAGAAATTGCTCAGTGGCGATCCTGGTGTAACTTTCTTTTACTCCATAAATGTGAAATTAACTTCTTTAACTAAAATTCTTTCTGGCTTTATGTTTCCTAACTGGACCTTTTCTCCTATTATTAATATTATTATTATTATTTTACTTCCATATACTGATTTCTATTCATTGTTGCTCTTTTTATCATACCTTCCATTCTCTATCTCTTCATAACCTCATTTTTATTGTATGGCGCATACATATTTAGTGCCTCCTTGTATCATTGTTTATGTTATTGAATAACAATTTTGATAATAACTAGTACTCAACGTTTAACCTCAGAATAGCTAACTCGATGACCCTAAAATGTACGATCAATATTTCTATGAGACCGCTGATTTAATCGCCTCCTGAATCTCACCTATCGATCCACTTATTAATTAGTGTGTTTATGAATCACCCAAACAAATTGTATCATTGTGATGTACACTACTTATGTTTGGAAACATGAGCAGTATGTAATACCAGTCGGAATTGAAACAAATCTGGAACATTACAGAGTTTGTATCATAAGACAACCTATAAGAAAGTTAACCAAATTTATATTCACCACTAATCAGCAAAATTCTTTATCAGTCTCTTGTTATATGAATAATAACAATTTTTTTAAACATTTCAGTGTTTAGCTAAGTCTTATGATAATCCAAATGGAATTGAGTGAATAGGGATCAATGACTTGTGATCAGTCGTCAGATGATCTGAAATAACTGAACCATACTAACTTAGTAACTTTATGGAAGTGTTATAATCAAATAACTAATTGTTTGTTTGTTTCAACACTATTTTTTTCTTAAAATAAAACCAATCAGTGAAATCGATCAAGAATCTCCACTATATGGTAAGCAAAGATGGATAGTGGTTAGCAGTGGAAACTAGGACGCGCGTTTCATCCTATTTGGGACTCGTCAAACAGATGTACCTGCATCTCAGAGTTGATGTTCACTCTGGCACTCGAATCCAGTACCTTTCGCTTTAAACGCCATCGCGTTATCCACTCGGCCACTGAGTCCTGACTGACTAGTTGCAGTCCTAAAAACATCAACGGGAAGATGCAAACAAACAATATTAAGTAAATTTCAATCTCCACTATAGTTTCTTATACTTAACTATTTTCTGCTCTTTTGTAGACGAGGGTGATAAGAAAGTGAAATAATGATGCCACCACAAACTAATCGATTTTTCCAGAACATGGTTATCCCTAAGCTACAAAATTATATCTGAAATATCCTGTTATTAATTATAGGCTTCTTAATGTTACAATCGGTGAATGACAAATTGAACTAACTCACATTTTCTGTCAGACTTCATTATAAATATGACTTACCAACTGATGATTGGGATTCACATTTTTAAAATAAATAAATTTAATTTTGATTGATAGATCCTTTGTAATGATACTGTTGTGAACAGAACACGACTGGGGACAATCGAATGTATTTAAGCAAACATTACAGACTATCTCAATAAATTCTGATTACCAAACAATGAACAGTCAATTTGCAAATTAACAACCAATTGTTTCAATCTTCACTGTTTCTTCTCTTATTCCATTGCTCATGCATTTTCCAGACGTTTGCGTTTCATTTCAGTTCTTTGCTCATCGGTCTTCTGCGAAAATACATCCTATGTCTGACCCACACCATATACTACTTATATAGATATAAGTAGACAACACCACAATACAACATGTCCTATTAATAATTGCTCATAGGAACAAATTGTTGATACTATCCCATATGAACTGATATTAGACAACAAAATATAGGGTATTTTATGTAGTAAAATAACATGGTATTATACAAATTATTAACAGAATAATAATCATAACTAAACGTCATAGGCGATTGGAGGGAAGCAGTTTATCGGTAACATAATCATTCATACTTTTCATATTTATCTAAATACATTTTTTTTTACAGGAATACAATTAGCATGACGGTTTTTGACGTAATCAACCACAATTACGTACGACGTTCTACGTTGTGACTGACTGACTGAACCACAAGTAACATTTAAAAAATTTGGTGTGAATAGATTAGTAAACTTGAAAAGTTCGCTATTGATTACAAGAACAATAGCTAAGTAATCATAATAATAGCTGTATAAATAATAGTAGTTTCAGGCTCGGTGTGGAAAATTTGAAAATTCATTAAGATTTAAATGACTTCAGTAGTAAGGAACAAAATGTTTGTTCAATCAGTTTTTTATGATTATTTATAAAATGTATGTATGTAGGAAGTCCTTTTAGCATAGCAAATGAAGTTTCCTAGATAGACAAGACTGAATAATGACATGATTACAACAATATAACAGTTCGACTTCATATTTTCTAGTGAATTGCAACATCTCTTATATATTTCTCACGAAGTAATAATTTTAAAACCGCGTTTTATGTATAAAGCAAGTGCTTTCAATATGGTATGGCCCCCTAATGCCCAGGTACGACCGAGAGTGGGGAGAGTTCGCTCTCCCTCTCGAAATGCTCTTCCATGGCCACGCGTATATAACCTCTCCCAGGGAAGTCTTACTCACTGCCTTCTCGTGGCGGAGGTGTTCTTTACGAAATGGAGAGGATGAAAAGCGAATGTCCAGCGTTTTAACCGGGTTGGTGGACATGGAAAGTTCACCTAGGGGAGTTGGAAAACCCTCATTCCAAACCAGTGGTGTACATGGGCTGGCTCCAGTATCCTGGAGGAACAAATGGCGTGTGAACCAATCGTTTGTCAGCGGCTACCATGTGACTGCATCTCCTTACGATGCTCCACTGACTTGTGGATCAGACTTTTAGGTCAAAGGCTTGGGGTGTGGTCCCCTAAGAAAATCACCTGCTTTGGTTTGGGCACCCGGGCAGTATCACAGCTCTCACACAAATCAAATGAGATTTGTGTGGCGCATGTATATCTGATGTCCCTTTGTACCAATATTTATATGTTTAAATAATAATAAATAAATAAAGCAAGTGTGAAGTATTTACGGAAGTTTTACAACATATGATATCCACAATATTTCCTATTCTGGTTTTCCTTAACAAAACTGTTTAACCGTCCCGCCTCAAGGTGTTGATTTAAACGAGTGACATTCAACTAACAGGGTGGTACTTGTAAAATCTATTCCACATATTTTAATTTGAGCAGCTGATCGATATTCCATGAAGTTTCACATCTCGAAACCTTGGAACAGATATTACGAAAATTGGAATAGGTTTTTTGGATTATTATTAATTATGATTTTCAGTATGGGGATTTGTGAACATTGTAGTAATTTTAACAATTGAATTCATGATTCGATCTAATCTGGATCATCATTGAAAACCTGGAAGTACTTATCGGTCATTTAATCCTAGTATGGGACTCTTCAGCAGTATGCATTCACGATTCCGCACACGGGATTCGAAACCAATACCTTAAGCCTCGCTTGTGAACGCTTAACCTCTAGATCACTGACCTGACATCCAACGGTGTTAATTTCTGACTTCAATCGATTCATGATTTTGTACAACCATTCATCCATTGTCTGAAGTGGATAATTGTCTCTTACACGACACGGATCGGACCCCACAGATAATTATAATTTTATTGCATAATTACTACGGAAACTAGATCACTATGTAAATATATATTCCATTCATCATGAGTTTGCGGTTTACACATTAAGTATACGATTTATTATTATGATTATCATTATTGTTGCTTCTCTACTGTTTACTGTTATTTGACAGTCATTTCTGGCTCGTTGACCTATAATTGTTATTTTTCATTTGTTGGTGTGGTGCAGTCCGTTATGTCTGTTTACTAACTACATTTACTTGAAACATAGATGTAGTAAAGGCTGATTGCTATTTCTGGATTCCAGACGGAATGTAGAGAAGAGCTAGAGAATAGTGGGCCAATAAGAACTTAGCTGGCCTCTCAAGATTAATAGTTCTGGATGTGTGATTAGCCTATTTAGGAACACCAAGCTCTAGAGTAAGTAGTAGATGCGAATTCGATGAAATTAAAATTATAATTTTTGTTTGTGACTTGGCACGTGGTTTTGGTCAACGATCACAAGTCATAATAGATTTGAACTCTGAATCCACTATACTTCTGTATGAACAACTGAATGATATCAAAATAATTAGCTTGATATTTATTATTTTCAAAGTTGAATTCACGAGTTGATCTAAGTTATATCACCATTGATAACCTGAAATCACTGCACTCGTGAATTCAACTTTAAAGATACTACAATCTGTACCAATACCTATACTGAAAATATTTATGATTATTAAAGTGTTCATAATGTTAAATCCTAATGTTTCACATAATTGCTTATACTCTTACTACTTCTACCACTATGGGATTTGAATCGACAACTGCATCTTTGTGTTAACGTGGTATAGCAACTCGAACTGATGTACGTACATATGAAGTTCTACGTTGTGACTGACTGACTGATTGAATGTTAATGCTTAATTTTTCCTTTTCTTTTCTAGGTAATTCCTATCAATTCGTTACATGGATTCTGATCAAAAATGTTTCGTACTTGGATTATTCATTTGTAAATTAAAACAAAATACACTCAGGTTGTCCTTATCATCCTATTACACATAGGTAATACATAGTAAATTTCAATGAATGGAATTAAGTTTAATTCAGATCAAAATGATAATCAATATGATAATTATATAGGACTATTGAATAATCATGATACATTATATTCTACTGATTACAATAATCATACTACTCATTTATTAAATTTTCAACATATTTCTAATGACATTAATGAAATCAATGTAGGACCATATTTAAAACAATTACAATGTGTTATAGGAGAATTAGTTGAATCAGAATCAGTTTATTTAAAAAGTTTATGTGATATTGAAGAAGTGAGTTATCATTGTGATATATGTTGTTGTTGTTTCATTCAACTTATGTGTGATGTTTTTTCTCGGAAGAGAGTTCTTACTGTCGTGGTCTGATATTTTTTGTGGCTGTGCGGATGCCCAGTTAATGTGTGACGTGATAAAACTGCCAATCAGAGCGCAGCGAATTATCGATTGGAACAGTGATACACGAAAACCGTACGAGTAGTCTAGAGGGCTTATCGGTCCTGCTTTCTGCCTAGCCCAGCCAGTTAAGTCCAGAACACCAATAACAGCCTCTGTGGTATGAATCGTTGTATTTCAAACATACTGAGTTTAAATACCCAACAAACTGACTACATCGTACCAATAAAATAGAAAATAACATTTGTACAAGATTTATCCAAATGTGGCTGTGAATGTGGGGGGCAGTAACTAATAGATTGAGTATAACTCAAGAATGGTAAATCGTATAATAATAGTCTATAGGTCAAAATAAAGCTTATAATAAGAGTAACATGGATATGAATAGTTTAGTTATTTTGCAATTATACGATAAAAAATATGTACATAATACTGGTCTATAAATGGATCTCCAAGTTACCATTCACTATTGTTATCGGGATATAACAATGGAGAGGGAAAGGATCAAGGCAACAGTGTATGAATGTTTATTCCTGAAAGCCGATTAATAATATTTACTGCTTTTGTATATTTTCAGACTGTTATGTCCCGATAAGAATAGTGAATGGTAACTTTGGGATCCATTTATAGATCTATACTATGCATATATTTTTTATGGTATAATTGTTAAATAACTAAGCAATTCATATTCATGTCCCCCTTATTATTAGCTTTATTTTGACCTATGAACTATTATCATACGATTTACCGTTCTTGAATTATGCCCTATCTATTGATAACTATCTCTCTTATTCACAGCCATATTTAGCTAAATCTTGTACAAATGTTGTTTCCTATTTTATGGTACGATGTGGTCTGTCTGTTCGGTACATAAACTCAGCATGCTTGAAATAAATGATTTTTACCACAGAGACTGGTGTTGGGGACTGGCTGGGCTAGGCAGAAGCAGGACCGATAAGTACTCTAGACTACTCGCACGAAACCCGTGCGAGTAGTACTAGTTTCGCTGCTCTCTAATTAGCGGTATTATCACGTTATGCATTAAAAGGGCATCCAGGCGGCACAAGTTATAACACAGACTGACAAAAATTTACGGATAATAAATAACTTTGACCGCATCCACTACCCCACACTGAGGAATTGAACGCAGGACCTTCGGTCTCACATAAATAACCCTATACTTTCTATTATCATGTGCTCACTGGTAACTAGCTTCGAGAGGGAATTCTCACAATTCTAGTTAAAAGCCGTGACCAACGGGTTTCAACAGTTTCAAGTGAGAGGCAGTTACCCACCGAAGACAATGGTAGATGATCGCGCGATGTCGAGAATCAATTGAAGTTAGACATTGACATCATTGGATCCTGACTCAGTGGTCTGGATGTTAAGCGTTCGCGCGTGACTGTCCGATTCCTGCTTTCCGGATCATGGCTAGTCAGTGTAACTAGTGAGATAGCTCAAGAGGTATCTGATTATATCTATTCAACAGTTAGACTGTTGCCAATTACGTCATTACAATTTCTAATTAGTTTATTTTTATGTCTTTTAAATCTTATATCTCTAATCTCTCTATGAAATTGAAACATTGTATGCGTATGTGTATTTCCAATTAGTCATGTTTGTGCGTTAAGATATTCTTACCATATTAGTACCTCTTATATAGTTTTCACCATGGACTGACTGAACAACATTAACTGAAGAGTTCGAATTTAAGACGGTGTTTTACAGTGATTTTAATATCTTTCAATCAATAATTTTGGATGTAAAATAGTTTGTATTCCCAGCTTTATTTTTCAATAGTCCTCAAGATGATATCAACTTGTAATGCCGAATAAACTCAAATCTATCAATCTGTACCAATACCCTCTATCTTAATAATTTATGTTTCGTTGAGATTGAATGAATCAAACGATACACTGTCTGGCTAAATCAAGCCATACAGTTAATCATGATGTCTACAAGTACAAATAGTTGAAAATGAATCTTTGTTTGTTCTATCTGAGTACATTACAAAGGTTAAATCTCATTTGATTTGTTTGAGGACTGTGATACTGCCCAGGTGCCCAAACACGTGGTTTTCTTAGGGGGTCACACCTGGAGCCTTTGACCTAAAGATCCGATCCACAAGGCAGTGGAGCATCGTGAGGAGATGCAGTCACATGGTAGCCGGTGACCAACGATTGGTTCATACACCATTTGTTCCCTCAGGATACTGGAGCCAGCCCATGTACACCATTGGTTTGGAATCAGGGTTTTCCAACTCCTCTAGGTGGACTTTCCATGTCCACCAACCCGGTTAAAGCGCTGGACATTTGCTTTTTGTCCTCTCGATTTCGTAAACAGCAGTAATGGTGAGAGAAGGTAGTGAGTAGGACTTCCCTTGCGTCATTTTTCGAGGGAGAGCGGACTCTCCCCACTCTCGGCCCTACCAGGGCAATATATTTGAACCGAATTTTTTTTTATTTAATGATAATTGTTGACTGGTAATGTTTTCTTTGACTAGTTCATGTGCTTAACTATTCAATTCAACTTCTATCTGACCTGCTTCACTGTGGACGTGTTTCACTCAATTTATTGAGTATCACAAGAATATGTCCACTTGCTCATTTACAGTCCATTAAAGTTACTTATAGAAAAAACATAGTGGTTTTAAAAGTCGTTTATTGTTTTAATTCTCAGAGATGGACGTTATGACTGATTATTTTTATCAGGTGATGTTATAATCTAAATAATAACCGGTTATTTCTATTACTGGATCGTCAGTAAGTAGACTGGCCTTTTGACATTCAAGAGCTAAATGCCTCATATTGTGACGATGAGGTTACCCTCTAATCTGTGTTGAATGAATCAACATTTCGTTAAGGAATATGTCAAACAATCCAAATGGTTGGTACTGTGAAATATTCCATCAGTAAGAATTGTACTGGTGGACAGTTATGATGCATAATAGCTGAGTGTTCTGCCCAAATAGTATCACACAATGAAGTTGAATTGTTCTTTTATTAACTCATTCTCAAGTCATAACACCTGTTACTTGATATTATTTTAAACTTGACGGACAAGATAAATCTGTTTCTGCAAATCTTATCCAAGGATTTAACTGGTCAATCTTAAGGAATAAATTCAAGCGTACTCCATCCATTTCGACATTATTAACCAGATATGATATCGTAAACTCATGAGCAGTTTACATGTAATAATTTCGTAAATAAATATCCACTAGGTCAGTAAGATTAATACATTATTCTTTCGAACAGCCCATCCATTCATTGTGTCAATATCTAGGCTGTATAATTTCTTTTCACATCATCTGCAGGAAGAGTTGATATTTAAGATAGTTATTAGTATAAGATGGTGGTTCGAGGTGGTCAACAGGAAACCATGGACCAGGGTTTCGTGCTACTTGGCACTCGTCAGCAAGGTGTACCTGTAATCTTGAGGGAACTGGTGCTCCCTGACGGACTCGATCCCGTGTCACTCAAATTCACAGTCAGAGACGTTACCACTGAGCTACTCGGGTGGCGACCGACGTCCTGTAGGACTGAGATGTAATCACAATTGATTGATCACTGGGTGGTGATTAATGTCATGCGTGTCAAGTCCTTCTTAGTGCTGATCGAATACTATCGATCAAGTTGCAATGTGGCCACTAGTCTAGGTGACTCGACACTGCGTGCACTATGTGAGTGACACGGGATCGAATCCGTCAGGGAGCACGAGTTCCCTCAAGATTACAGGTACGCCTTGCTGACGAGTGCCAACTAGCACGAAGCCCTGGTCCAGGGTTTCCTGTTGACCACCTCCAACCACCATCTTATCTCAACATAGTGCACTCAGTGTCGAGCCACCTAGACTAGTGGCCACATTTCAACTTGATCGATAATATTTGGTCAGCACTAAGAAGGACTTAACACGCATGACATTGATCACCACCCAGTGATCAATCAATTGTGATTGTTGTTAGTGTTTTTCACATTTGTTCTCATTTTGTTTTCTTTTTCTTCATAGGGTTACTTATTACGTTTAGAAACAAATCAAAGTGTAGATCAACAATTTCTAGATGTTGTCTTTCATAGAATATCAGATTTACGAGTTTTTCACGCGTAAGTTTATACATCCTTTCATTTTTCTTGACTAAAGTTGTTGTTTTGAGCATTTGTGATTTCGTTTTCAATATTCTTTATCTATCGGTAAAATTATGGTATACCAACGACCTTCAGTTAACCAATCAGAATTAAGTTGATGCCCTATGTATTTTGCATGACATTTAAAATGCTCTGATGGATGACTTGTATGTGATCATGAACTAAGTGAAAATTGTCAATATTTGGTTATTAAAATGCTCCAAACTAATAAAAATATCTATTATTATTCAACGAAAAAGTGGATTTTAAATGATGCTTTACCGAAACTACAAAACATAGCTGCATGTAAGACAGACTGTATGTTAACATGCTTGATGTGATTGAATGAGTAATGAAGAGTATTTCGTGAGGTTAGATAATATTCTCCCACTTTAACTCTTACTCTAAATGTCAACCTTAAATTTCTGAAGTTTGTAAATAGAAGAGTGGTAAAGGATTGCGTTGTAGCTGATATCAGTTCGTGAAGAAAACCATGACCTTATTTTGTAAACCTGACTCGAAACTTCAGTTTAACTGTTAATACCTAATCCTAATCCTTTCATATCACCCTGGATTACCAGGATAATTTCAAGGTTACTATAAGTTGTTTTTGTACACATAAGTGTGTGTGTGTGTGTGTGGGGGTAAATTTACGAATAATCAGGGTTTCTATAAACCTGACAATTCATCCTTGACAATTTCTATAAAACTTTTTAAAATGTGTATTGATGTCAATTCTGTGCTCCGTTTCAATTATGTTTTTTGCTGTCGATGAAAATGATTTTCTACTTCTCACGTTGGTCAGAACATTTGACACGAACTGGTTTTGAGGCCGTCTAGGCACATGTTCAATCATCTTTGATTGCAGCGTTCGATTATTCCTCACTATGTATGTGTGTCCACACAAGCATGTTAATTGTTAAATACAATGGGATTTGACGTAATCATTTGTGCATTGTCTAGGTCTTTTTGGAATCACGGACTCAGTCTTTTCAATCACAACCAGTTTAGCAGTGGAATAGGTTTTCTCGATGGCTGCTTTTCTCGATCTCTGTCTTAAAACTATACTGTTAGATTCACCTCCAAATTATGGACGGATATAAACAGTTTTCTTCGGAGCAGAACAAAACGAGAGGTTTTAAGGTTGATTGATTTTTGCGCACATTTATAAACTTTAGTGGATAACCTTTTGATATTAGTGTATCAGTCAGCAGTTTTTCGTCTTCTACAACTGTATTTGTGGTATATATTCTGTGGATCCTATTAAAGAGACATTTAACTAAGCCTCGCTTGTCTTGCAATGGATAGAAACTGGAAATTTAAATATCGACCTGTCCAAGATGGATTCCTATGGACTGACAGTTTTATAGTTCCATCCATCTTTTAAGGAAAGCTTACACAGTTTATTGCGGATTGGGTTTAGCAATTTTACCAACCATTTTGCTAGTTCATATGTAGGTGAACCACGCATAGATAATATTTGTAGTAATAAATTATTAAGTTTATGGATTTTTAGGTAATCCATATAAATTCAGTCAGTATAGTTTACCTTCAGTTCTAGGTCTTCTTCCTGACAAATTTATGTTGTCATGACTCGTGTTTATAAATTTTACTAATAGTGTCAATTTACAGTGTTCTGTTATTATTTATCATTTAAACAAGATTGAATGAATACAGGTATCAATACCCAGGATCGAACTTGATAGTTTCAATTAAATTGATCATTAGATAGAAAGTTGGTCAGAAATTATCCCAATCAGTAGAAATTAGTATTTCTGACGTTTAGTGACTTAATGTAGGATACCTCTACAGAGTAAATAAATAAGTAAACGCGAGTGCGGGATCGTGGATGCGCACTGCTGAGTAGTCCCATAATAGGACGAAACAACCGTCCAATGCTTTTAGGCTTTCCATGGTGGTCTAGCTTCAATCGACTCATGATTTCAACTATGAAAAATACTGAAATCTCCACAAAACCCCTCCTGGTTTAAATATTAGCACAAACGAAAAAAAGCTGAATATTTTTTATTATAATCCAAATCACAATAGGTCTAAACATGTCAATATCATGTTTTATTTTTGATCAATGTCCATTATTTCATATTCCAAATGTATACATTTTTGATATGGATAGTCAACCAGAAGTTGCCTTATGAAAAGGTCAATCAATGGTAATCAGAAATCACCACCTTAAGGTCAAGTGCATTTAATTGGGTCAATGGGTCAATTTCCTAAGGATAGAGTGGTATAAGTACTTATGAGTATTTGTGCATTTCATTCAGTAGTCCAATATAATTCTCGCTCAAGGGGTTAGCGTGTAACACACCGTATATCAGTTTCGAGGTATCGGATACCGCACATCAAAAAAATTTTTCACACTCATTGTCATCCATACAAATAAATATAGTGGTATGTTATACAGAATCAATCACCTTGTATTAACTTTATTTCGGTTATTTATTAATTTACTCTAAAGAAATGAGTTAAATCAAGTGACAAAACATCAGAAATACAAGTTTTTACACATTAGGATACTACAAAAAGAAGTTATTATTGAATTAATTAGTTATTGAGCTGGACGACCGTTTCGTCCTATTGTGGGACTCCTCATCAGTGTGCATCCACGATCCCACCTCGCGAGATTCGGACCCAGGACCTACCAGTCTCGCGCCAGAGCACCTTAATTCAGCACAACCATTTAGTGCAGAAATCTGTTTTTGTCTAAGTATCTTTCGAAAAATTAAGCAAAATTATTACATTTGAAGGAGGTAAAAAGAACAGAAGCATATATTGTTCACATCTTACGGTGTAATAATTTTCCTATGAAGATTATTAAAAATGTAATAAAACAAGATTTACTTCTAAGTAATACTTTCGAGTGAAATATCATGGATTGGTACTGTAGTTTTGCCATAACACCAGGGTACAACAGAATTATTCCAAACAGTTTTAAAATAACATAGAATTAAAGCATACTAATGACATCTGTTTGTGTAATACGATTGAAATCTACTTCACCTGGGAAAATCTAGAGTAGTCAACGTGATCGGTGCATCCCCCCCAGTATTATGTTTCTAAATTCACCTAGTATTGTTCGAATCTTCCATTGATGTTTAGAACTGCAACTGGTCAGTCTCTTATTGGCATATGTGCATACTCTGCGTATTATCTCGATATGGTCTTATTTCACAAGCATTGTAAGCAAAGGTGGATATTGGGTAACAGTGGAATCCAGTTTGACGCGCGTTTCGTCTATTTGGGACTCGTCAGCTGGATGTACCTACATCTCAGAGTTGATGTTCACTCTGGGACTCGAACCCAGTATCTTTCGCTTCAAACACCATCGCGTTATCAACTCTGAGATGCAGGTACATCTAGCTGACGGGTCCCAAAAAGGACGAAACGCGTGTCCTGGATTCCACTGCTAGCCACTATCTATCTTTGCTTGCAGTTATGTTTCCAAGTTATCTTATCATAAATTAATAGTGTATCGTTTTGTGTACTTACAAAAAATTAATTTTTAGACAGCTTCATTCTGATCTTTATGTGAATCGGGAAAATTTTATTCAACTTGGACGGGTATTTCTAGTGAATGCAAAACATTTTGAAGAGCTCTATGTGGATTTTTGTCTTAATTATCCAAAGTAAGCGTTTTTTTCCTAACAGTTTTCATAAATTACAGTTGGTTTTGAAATATCATCATTAATATTATATAATATATTCACTACTAGTGTAGTGCTCTGGTACGGCTGAGAGTGGGGAGAGTCCGCCCTCTCTCTCGAAATGCTCTCACATGGCCACGCGTATATAGCCTCTGTCAGGGAAGTCCTACTCAATGTATTCTCGTGGCATTACTGTTGTTTATGAAATTGAGAGGACGAAAAGCGAATGTCCGGTGCTTTAACCGCGTTGTTGGACACGGAAAGTCCACCTAGAGGAGTTGGAAAACCCTGATTCCAAACCAATGGTGTACATGGGCTGGCTCCAGTATCTTGAGGGAACAAATGGTGTATGAACCAATCGTTGGTCACTGGCTACCATGAGACTGCGTCTCCTTAAGATGCTCCACTGCCTTGTGGATCAGATCTTTAGGTCAAAGGCTGCGAGTGTGGCCCTCTAAGAAAACCACCTGTTTCGGTTTGAGCATCTGGGCATTATCACAGTCCTCACACAAATCAAATGAAATTTGTGTGGCGCATATGTATCTGGTGCCCCTTCTATCAATGTTTATGTGAAAATTTTCACAATGGAGATCTTTAATATTCCAATATTTATGTGTTTAAATAAAAAGTAAACTAAAAATTTTTGACTGAATCAAGTATACAAATATTTATGTAAATCTTGATGTAATCCATTTAACAATTTAGGGCTCTATGTTTTTGGATTTGATATTCGAACCGATAGGGATAGGAGGGTTTAAACGTATGGATTAGTGTTTGAAAGTGAAGTGATCTAGCTACTGAGTGACCGCTTCATTGTTTCGACAAAGTTATTGATCGTTTACTGTGTCAGTTCACTAAAGACAATTTTCTGTTAAGCATTGAGCCTTTTTCTCAAAATTATGCTCCCAAAGCAATTTACAGTATATTCTACTAGTTTTTCTAAACAAACGGATTCTCGGAATTTAGATAAACCTAACTGTTTCGTCCATTTAAAATAAACATTATGTTCCTAATATGGTGTTATGTACGAGGGAAAATTACGTCAAATAAACGTTAAATTGTCATCTCGGAACAAGAAAGCGATAAAGATTTAGTATGAGGACAAGAATAAAATAACTGTGACCAATCTTCAGCCAGTTCTCACCTGGTAAGATAAGAGCCTTTGTAAATGAAGGGTTTGTGGTAAAGAAAATAATATTATTACTAGGTGTAAACATATATTTACTTTGCCTGTCAATTGAAAAACTAACGGCATACAAATTCGCTTATATAGATCTGGATTATCCGTATCCCTAAGTCCTTATAAGGACTTAAGTCGATTTTTTAGTCTCTATATTGTTCTTGATTAGGGTTATCGATTATAATGGTTAGGATTAAAGGATTAGGTTTGGGGTTTTTGATCATCAACTGACATTAATTGGAACAAAATATCCTCTTTCACCATTTAAATAAATGAATATATCTCAAAACCCTTACGATACAATGCCAATAGGTTATTGTTTGCTTCAAGATTGCAAGTTCCAGGTTAGGATTTAAAGATAATGTCAATTTTCTTGTTATATACAGTTTTTCAAAGAAAGAGGAGAGTATTTTATCCATTTAATGATACCACATTCACTCCATGGTAACATTATACCAAGATGTTTCTACTGCTCCTCTATACCTAAATATTTGAATTTTGTTCCGTAAGCTAAAAGTCGTGCTCTCGATTGTGACTTATACTTCTCTATACTATAATCTTACCAGTGAAGCAAGCTGAACTTCAGTATTCTGACAAGTACCTATACTAGCTCTCTGTAAGCCAACTGGTTAAAATATACCAAACAATTCAATTATTTTATTTCACTATAGTCTCCTTACTTCATGTTTTAATGTGTTTGTTTTTCCTCTTCTTGTGATACTGTTCAAATTTCTGTTAACTCGTATTCAAAGTACACCATTTTGTCAACTTCCGTCTTTTTTGTGGAACAGGAAGGTAGCTGAAATCTTACGTATAATAACCATAACTTTAAAATAGTTTGCATATACTTTTCACAATGATTCTTCGAACGTGTTCATTGATATTCATCTTGGTAATGTTGTGAAACAAAACGATGAACTGTAGGGATCAATATTTATCGTGAGAAACTACAAAATGTTTAGATAATACGTATACATAGCCCTCGGCTATCTGTCTGCATCTTGTGGTGTGTTTTTCTATGCAAACTGTCTTTTCTTTTGGTCTACTAGTGTGTTTAGGTGTTGAATCCTCTCATATGTTATTTACTAGATTGATTTAGATTAAGACCTCCAGTTTAGGCCAGTGAAATTGACTGACTGACTACCTCTCGTCTTCTGTATAGAAATAACAGGAAATATTATGATTAATTTGCATTTTTCCCTCCCCTCTCCCTATATTTCATACATTTTGTTGCTGTTGGTTACTGTGGTTTATTTTTGGGGATTATGCAACTTTGTACGGTGTTCCAATCGTGTTAAGGACGTCAAGCCCTATTCAGTGATGCCGATTGGCTTTCCCGGGAATAGTTTCAGTTTCTCACGGTTCACAAACCTATTGTGCTGGTGTGATTTTGTAAGGGAATAGTTACTCCCAAGTCTAGGCGTGCGGGGATCGAACTTGGGGCAAGTATATTCTACATTTATGCCAGAAATACATAATTGTTCACCTGTGAATCCCTTGGCATACACATAGGTTTACTTATTTGTTTGAACACATAAACATTAGTACAAGTGGACACCAAATACATTTGCGCCACACAACGACAATGAGGCCAGTAGGAGTTATCATTGATATGTTTGAGGGCTGTAATACTGCCCGAGGGCCCATCCCGGAGTCTCTGATCTGAAGATAGTAGAGCAACGTTAGGAGATGTGGTCTCATGGTAGCCGGTGACCAACAATAGGTTCATATGCTATTTGTTCCCTCAGGATCCTGGAGCTCATGTGTACCATAGATTTGGAATCAGGATTTTCCAACTCCCCTAGGTGAGTCCTCCATATCCATCAACTCGATTAAGGCGCTGGGCATTCGCTTTTCGTCTTCTCAATTTCGTAAACAACAGTAATACCACGAGAAGGCAGTGAGTAGGACTTCCCTGACAGTGGTTGTATACTCGTTGCCTTATGAGAGCATTTTGAGAGGGAGAGCTGACTTTCCCCACCCTTGACCATACCAGAGCATTCAGGGTATACTTTCCCTGTTAGCAAATGTACGTTACATGCACATCGGTTGCACATAAGTTTTCGCTCATGCATCTCATGGCACCTATAGATATATTCACCCACTTGGGAGCGTTGTTGATCACCTCTCCCTCCGTACATATTTGCTGCAAGTGACTGTCACTTGTGCATTTATTGCGTATTACTGTTACAACACTTATATTCCTGTTGAGAGTCCGGCGCGTACTTTTTGAATATACCTACGTACACAACTAAACAAGCCGAGATTCATGCAATTCATATACTTAAGCATACACATCGAGCGGTCTGCAAAATTTAAGAACCTCGACATTAGAGGTCCCAATTAATCCAGTTTACTGCAGATTGGGTGATCAATCAGATCTCGCTTACCACCCAAGTTAACTAGCAAGGTTTGCTCTACCACTTGGCAGCACCATGGAGTGGCCTTAGGTTGAATTTCGCTCTATTCAACTTTGTCACTTTTTCGTTACTCTAAACTGATTTTCGTCACTGTGGTGTGTGTGTGTGTGTTCTTGTCCATCAAAATATCTGTGTGTATGTATGTTTGAAAGCCTAATCAATGCCTGGACTAGTTATCTGAATTTCCCTGGAAAATATTTTATTTATTTGTATTGTTCATTAAGATTGTATTTTCCTGTATGTAGAATCTATAAAACAGAATTATTTTAGTCCAAATTGCTTGTCCAAATAATTTTCTATGTGTAAACATGTAACTGAATAAAATATTAATCGTTTTTTCGCTGACCTATTATTATTACTACGATGGAACCATTTCTTTTTCTAAAGAAGATTTCCTTTACTAACCACTTCTAGCTGTAACTAGGTAGATACCATCGAAATTAATTTGTAAATTGTATTTACGTATCGTTATTCTTTTTTTTTCATTGTGTTTTTATATATTTCGCCTTCCTCTCTTTTCATTACAAACAAAAAAAACTTATCGACTAACCAACTAACTAACTAACTGACTGACTATCAACTAAGCTCAGCATGAACACGTCTATGACCAATTAGAATAAGTTGTCAAATTTTTCGTCTAGTTGATTCGAAAAAAAGCCTAACTTTTTTTGTCTACTCCTTATTGATCGACTTTAGCATATACAAGGTTAAAAGATGTTACCTATTGCATTCTGATTGATCAAATTTTTCATTAGAGTTTTATTATTTATTTCTTACTGGTGGGGGTTTGCATGTAGTTTTAGTGTTTCTATCGTAAACCACGTGGCTAACAACAAGTATAAAAAATGTTGAATCAGAAGAGACTATAATTTATAGATGAACTTTGAGCGATGGTTGAGACTATGCTCTACTGACGGCCTCAATCGAACAATCAAAATTAAGCTAACCTATGATCGAATTTAAAATGCTGTTGTGGATAGCTTGTTGCTATAACTCGTAGTTTTCATTTTATTTCACATTTCGAAGGAATTGGTTGATGTTTTCCTTGTCGAATGATCTGTTGAGGTCAGTATGTTTGCGTTAGGAGTCTTAAGTTTAGGAGTTTTAGGGTTAGGAGCTAGGGCTAAGGAGTTATAAGGTAAGGAGTCAGGGTTAAGATGAAAGATGTTAATGTTGAGAGCTAGTGTTAAGGAGCATCGGGGGAACTTCAATCACTTACTACGGTCGAAATGGGGTTATAAATTAGTGTGAGGAATTGAGACTAGAAATGTTATGGTTATAAGTTAAGATTAAGAATTAGAATTAGGTTTTTCATCACTAATTTAAATCAGATATAATTCTAAAATGTAACTTACCTATATGGATGTATGAATTCCGTGCCAATCCAAATCAAAGACTCTCAGTCTTAGATCTGATTGGTTTGTTCATAAATTGTATTCTCGCTGTAAATAACGTGTCTAACAGCATTTCCCCTAGGTCAAGAGGAATAGTTAAAAATATGTGGTAACTGTTTAAAACATATCAGGCTCTTCAGTTACAAATCCATAATTTTTGCATTACCATTAGCCAAAGTAAGAAGTGGATAACTGACAGTGTTCTGTATTAAAGTAGAGAACTTTGGCAGCTGTCGACTTAAATCCAGAGAAATACTACCAACCAACGGTTGTCCAGATGATTTCGTCAAAATGTATTTGTTAGAACAGAAGAATAGGTCAGACGCCGATACAATATGTTCAACCTCTATGTCTTATCATGACCCCACCCCACCAGTGGATCATCGCATACTGTAAACCCTTACCCATGTAATCTTCCCTAGTGTTTATGGTTATCTCTACTCCGTTCCGTTTTTAATTTACACATTGACCTTTCTAAATTCATATAAATTTCTTATCACCTCTCTTATTAAAAATTATATTCACTTGGCATTATAAAAAATTTCACCCACTATATATTGTACTCACAATTCATTTTGTTATACTGATTATGGCTCAACAACTCACAAGGAATTTTCCTACACTTGTTTTGATGATCTTTCTAATTTGATAAGGATTATTTTGGTGTATGTAGGTTATAAACGATGCAAAAGTTTGCTATTTGGATGAATTTTTTATTTATTTTATTTATTTAAACACATAAATATTGGTACAAGGAAGCACCAGATATATATGCGCCGCACAAATCTCATTTGATTTGTGTGAGGGCTGAGATACTGCCAATGTGCCCAAACTGAAGCAGGTGGTTTTCTTAGGGGGTCACACCCGAAGCCTTTGACCTAAAGGTCTAACCCACAAGTCAGTGGAGCATCTTAAGGAGATGCAGTCCCATGGTAGCCGGTGACCAACGATTGATTCATACGCTATTTGTTCCTTTAGGATACTGGAGCCAGCCCATGTTCACCCTTGGTTTGGAATCAGGGTTTTCCAACTCCCCTAGGTAGACTTTCCATGTCCACTAACCCGGTTAAAGCGGCAGGCATTCGCTTTTCGTCCTTTCATTTTCTTAAACAACACCGCTGCCACTGTGAGGAGGCAGTGAGTAGGACTTCCGTGGCAGAGGCTATATACGCGTGACCATGTGAAAGCATTTTTCGAGGGAGAGCGGACTCTCCCCACTCTCGGCCGTACCAGAGCATTTGGGGGCATTTGAATGAATACCATTATCTAATTCCCTTAAAGACACCATCATAATACGATAATTTTGTTGAAATCATGAACCGATTCATGACCGCTTTTGAAATCCGTACACGGGGTTCGTGAATGCACACAGCTAAAAGCTTTCGTAATAAGACGAAATGACCATTAAGTGCTTTGTCGATTTCAATACTAGTCTAGTTTAAACGATTTCAGCATTTCAATGATGTTCGACAGTTTTCAAAACCCTGGAGCTCTTCTAGGGTTACTGCCGGTCTGAAGCCTGGATAAAGGAGGAAGGCTAGGCATAGGGTTAGCAACTTTATTCCATAGAAAGGAATTCTCCTGGAAAAGCGCCTTAAAATGAGTTTATTGAAAAGTATCTCTTCGCTGAATTGTTGTATGGTTTGTTGGTTACATACTTAAGTCAAATAAATATATGACACTGTTAGATTAATAAGTCACATTTGTTTCGGGTTATTGGTGACTCTCTTTATCAATGTAAGTTCACTATGAACTCATAGTATACAAACGATTGTGAATTAGCTGGCTACATTCATTCAAACTCAACAGGAATTATAGAGATTGAATAATTATGTATGAGAAAAACTTGGAAGAAAAATGCCTGAAAACATACTTAGTTCTATTCTTTCCTCATTTGTTAATTCGGTTGTTGATTTAACTATAAGTATGGTTAGATAGATGTACAAGATTTTACAGCTTGTTCATCATTATTGCTCATATTTCTTAGCTGCTGAATAGTTTTTTGAAAAAAATTATTATGTAAATTTGATACTATACTTAAATTCAACCGGTTAGTTTTGCGCAAACTGTGTATTCCTAGTTCTGTTAATTTAAGTTCAATTATCCCCTGGCGGAAATTTCATTGTTATTTAGTAAGTAGTCCATTTACCTCATGCATGAAGCAGTTATCAGTCAGTCACAACGTAGAACTTCGTACGTACGTACATCAGTTCAAGTTGCCATACCACATTAGCAAAGAGATTCAGTTGTTGATTCAAATCCCATAATGGTAGAAGTAGTAAGAGTATAAGCAGCAATCCGAAAGATTAGGGTTTGAAGATGTTATTGAAGGAGTATAATACAGTGAAATAAATTTGGAAAGAGAAAAAGATAGAAACATGAAGAATTGAGAAGATTAGAATTTGGGAGAACACAAAGAGTGGATACACCTTCGCCATTGCAGACGATTTTGAGCCATATCATTCAAGGTCTCTAACCATCGATTGCTGTCATCTCGCGAATTCCAACCAGGTAGTCTACACCTACCAGCATGGCTCAGTCTAGTTGCCAGTGACTTCACGGATTTATGCCACGTTTTGGTCTGGCCGCCCCTATCTTTCTCCCAACCTACTCCTACACCATAGAACAGATATACATGTAATGCTTCAAAAGCGTTAGTTATTTTCTTTGGAAAGTGGTGTTGACATTTAAAAAAAATTATATTCTTATCTGAAGTTTGATATTGATCCACTGAGTTGCTGTTACAGTTTAATCTTATATACCTTTCCAAATAAGCTTTAAGTGGCTTTTAAAAATGAGTTTAATATCATAACTGTTGAGAGTTAATCAGTCCATGGTTTCTGTCATATTTTGTTCCTGGATATCTTCAGTAACAGCATCTGTAGTAGTAATGTGCATTCAAATATTAAATTCCATTATTATTATTTATCTATTTTATTTAAACACATAAATATTGGTACAGAGGAGCACCAGCTATATATGCGCTACACAAATCTCATTTGATTTATGAGAGGGCTGTGTTATTGCCCAGGTGCTCAAACTGAAGCAAGTGGTTTTATCAGGGGCCCTACTCGGAACCTTCAACCTAAAGGTCTGGTCCACAAGGCAGTGGGATAACGTAAGGAGATGCAGTCTCACGGTAGCCTGTGACCAACATTACGTTCATACATCAGTGAAAACTGTTTTCAAGTAAATTAGAGTCTTAAAACATTTGGAAATTATTTTCTATACATGTTCATATCTTTATTCGTGGAGAAGTTTCATGAATCATTGAAGATATGAAAACTGTACATTTTTCGTGAAAGATATTTCTTTTATTTTTCTCTTATGTAAAAAACCAAAACAACAACAACTCAGAACTATTCGTTTGCTTGAAGAAGCCCAAAAATCTCGTACAGATACTTGGATATATCTTAATAATTGTCAGTCAGAATTACAACATCAGCTTCCTCTTGCCACATATCTTCTTAAACCAGTACAACGTATACTCAAGTATCAATTATTTTTACAGGTAATTTAGTAGTTATTTTGAATAATGTAATTTTATATATTTGTAACATGACCAAGTATTCAGTTGGTTGCATGTGTTTCAAAGTATTAAATTCTTATGATAATCAAACACTTATTGAATCAGTACTCTATTCATTCTTTTCAACTATCGATCGCTGTAGTACACTTTACATTTATTACAAAACGAGAGGTAACATTTTAGAATTAGGGTTATATTATCATGAAAGACTTACTTACTTACTTACTTACGCCTGTTACTCCCAATGGAGCATAGGCCACTGACCAGCATTCTCCAACCCATTCTGTCCTGAGCCTACCTATTATGAAAGACATAACTCATAAATCATTTCATTTATCATAGAGTTGTTACACAACACTTTCGGACATAATGTCAACAGGGGGGGGTCCGTTGTTACTGTAGTGTGTTGAGAAATCATTTTATGCGTTAAAATTGTAGAAGAGAACCTAGTTGATTAGATTTACTATTGCTGTAGGTGGTGGTTTGGCCTAGCATTAACTGTAACATCACATTGTAATATTGATGTGATGACAAAAAGAAAAGACGTTCTTAAGTTGTGTTGAGGACAGGTGATCAGCCCATTTATTCTAAGAGTAGCTGTATTGTCTAATCAGTGTGTTGATTCGCTAGTCTGGATTTCGTGTGTTTTTATTTATTTATTTATTTATTTGAACACATAAATATTGGTACAAGGAAGCACCAGATACATATGCGCCATACAAATCCCATTTGATTTGTGTGAGGGCTGAGATACTGCCTGAAGCAGGTGGTTTTCTTAGGGAGCCACACCCAGAGCCTTTGACCTAGAGGTCTGATCCACAAGTCAGTGGAGCGTCGTGAAGAGATGCAGTCCCATGGAAGCCGGTGACCAACCATTGATTCATACGCCATTTGTTCCCTTAGGATACTGGAGCCAGCCCATGTTCACCATTGGTTTGGAATCAGGGTTTTCCAATCCCCCTAGGTGTATTCGGTTAAAGCGCCAGGATTTCGTGTGTAGGATCAATGACTCATTTACAGTGAGAAAACAACTGAAATCAACACATCATACCTACAGATCCAGGATGCATTTTCCCATGTTTTATTGTCCGACTGACGGAATAGAACAGGAAACACTTGTGGCAAACAACCGCCATTGTACAGTTTCATTTATAACTCAAACTTGTAAGATAATATCGGTTAATTTCCAGGCGGCATACCTACTTAACTAAGAAATTACAATATGTGCATAACTACGCCATAAATGAAGGAGAATTTGGTAATGGATCAATAATAAGGTAAGAATAACTTACAAAAGGTGAAACACAGAACAATAGTTTATGCATCAAATGAAAGCTTACAGTTAGGACAATAGAAAAGTGCAGTAATTTAGGTGTCTAATAATTATACAACAAAATCATTATTAATAATCCTTTGCAAGATAATCCAAAAAGTTATATGTTCACAATATTCAGCTCATTATAGGAGATATTTAATTATAAGCAGAGATGGATAGGGGCTATCAGTGGAATCCAGTTTGACGCTCCTTTTCGTCCCATTTGGGACTAATCAGCTGGATGTACCTGCATTTCAGAGTTGATGTTCACTCTCGCACTCGAACCCAGTACCTTTCGCTTCAAACGCCATCGCGTTATCCACTCAGCCACTGAGACCTGATAGCTACTTGCTTGTGCAATGGGGTAAAGTTTAAATTCACTTAGTATTGTTTGTTTGAATCTTCCCATTGATGTATAGGACTGCAACTGGTCAGTCTCTAATTGGAATATGTGCATACTGTGCGTATTGTCTCGAATTAAGGCTATATCGAGGCAATACGCACAGTATGCACATATATCAATTAGAGACTGACCAGTTGCAGTCCTAACACATCGATGGGAAGATACAAACAAACAATACTAAATGAATTTAGATATTTAATTGATTTTCCAATCCTTGTTCATCATTCATAGACCAGTATTTATCTGGTTATTTATTTATTTTTTCCGTAGCACTATTGATGTAGAAATTTTTTGTGAAGAGGAAAAAGTACTGTGATAATATTTTTTTGTCATTCTGTCCTTTATTTACCTAGTTACATCTTTTTTTTGTTTTTTCCACTTTCTATTTTTTTATCACAATTAGGAATGTGTCAAACATTTAAGTCAAATAACAACAGAACTATTAAATTCGAAATCATCATTACCAGGTAGAGATTTATCGATTAGTAGTAATACTGTAGATCCTTCAGAATGTAATACTAATCATAATAATGATGTATTGTTGGAGTTTTTCAATCATTCTATTTGTACATTAAGACAAGCATTAGAATGTATGATTCAAGTGAGTGGTATAATTTCACTAGATATATTTATTTATTTATTATTTATTTAAACACATAAATATTGGTACAAAGGGGCACCGAATGCATATGCGCCACACAAATCTCATTTGGTTTGTGTGAGGGCGATGATAATGCCCAGGTGCCCAAACCGAAGCAGGTGGTTTTCTTAGGCGACCACACCCGGAGCCTTTGACCTAGAGGCCTGATCCACAAGTCAGTGGAGCATCGTGAAGAGATGCAGTCCCATGGTAGCCAGTGACCAACCATTGATTCATACGCCATTTTTTCCTTCAGGATACTGGAGTCAGTCCATGTTCACCATTGGTTTGGAATCAGGGTTTCCTAACTCCCCTAGGTAGAATTTCCGTGTCCACCAACCCGGTTATGGTGCCGGACATTCGCTTTTCGTCCTCTCGATTTCGTAAACAACACCCCCGTCACCAGATATAAATTGTATGTAATACATTTCATCATTTCTAAATGGTCTTTTATATCACTTATTTTTGTTTTAAAATGACTCTACTTATCACTGTACAGTTTCACATAATTGAGTCATTTCTATGTTTTGTGGTGTCCGACTTTAGTACTGATAAATGTATTTCATATTCGCAAGCCTAACTAGGTACTTGGGTGAGAAAACTAAGAAGGAAGCATTTATTGTCTTAGTCTTCTTTGGAGAAGGAAGCCTTATTTTGGCCAATGTCGCATTAGCCCACTGTATTGGCTATAAACTTTCTATTTTAGACTACTGAAGTAAAGTGGGTAGAAGGATTTTGAACGCCTTAATTGTAAACGGAATGAATTATTAAATTCAACTTAGTATTGTTTGTTTGAATCTTCCCATCGATTTGTTAGGACTGCAACTGGTCAGTCTCTAATTGGCATATGTGCATACTGTGCGTATTGCCTCGATATACCTTAATTCACAAGCATGGTTAGCAGAGATGGATAGTGGAATGAATGAATTATTAATTAATGAGTGACAATTCACATATTTTCCCAAGATATTTATGAGCTTTTTTCTAATGTAGACAGGTATACCTTACGGAGAAATTCTGTATATTACGAAACCTAGGTTCAGGGTTTATTATCGTCTACCTTCAACTACTGAACATCTCAACGTTGTCTATACAATGTCGAGTCACTTAGACTGGTGGCCACATTTCAACTTGGTCAAAATAATTCATTGAGCATTAAAAAGATTAGATGAACATGAAGTTTCTGTCTGCTTCCTGTTTTTGTCATCATCATACACTTTCTGATCATATGCTTCAATTTGACTCTAGATATTTTAAAAATTAATTTATTTAAACACAAACGTTACGAAGGGGCAACCAAATATGTATGTGGCATAATAGTCATTGAATTTGTGTATGGGCTAGGATATTGTCTGGTCACCCAAACCGAAGCAAGTAGTTTTCTTCGGGTGACACTCCCTGAGCGTTTGACCTAAAGGTCCAATCCTCACTTAGGTGAACGAACACTAAGGGATAGGGCCCTATGGAAGTCGGCGACCAACAGTAGGTTCATGTACCCCATTTGTTCCCTCAAGATCCTGGAGGTCAGGTACACCATTGGTTTGGAATCAGGATTTCCTAACTTTCTTAGGTGCTCGATGAGCGTCTACTAACCCGGTTTAAGTGCCGGACACTCACTTTTCGTTCTCTCAATTTCGTAACCGAACCCTCTCTACTAACAGGACTTTCCTGGCTGTGGCTATACACACATAGACACATGAGAGGATTTCTAGAGAGAAAAAGAACTGTCCCCACCTTCGACCCTATCAGGGCTATATACTCAAACTAATCGTAGATGTATTTACTGATAACAATCACGGTTATGTTGTTCGCATACCGAATAGCGAGTAAAGTTAGTTTAAATAGTGACGTTTTATAGGAGAATACAAATGAAACTAAACTAAATAAACCATTTATTTGACTAGAGTCTCTGTAGTTGTGTTGGGACGATCCTGAAAATTTCTCGCAATAGACAAGAAAGCCTCAGGAAACATTAAGAAGCATTTTGTCCAATCGGCGTTTGACTAGAAGTTTTGCTAGAAACATCACGAAAGTGAAAAGTCACATGTAGTTTCTGATTGGCTGATATCTTCATTGCTACTATGTATAGTAGCATTCTAGAGTTTTCAGGAAAATCCAAGGACTTCTAAAATACTATAAAAAACCTTATATTTTCTGTACATAAATGAACCTTTGGAGTAAAGTGCTTTTCGCATATTTTGCGTCTTTTCTCTCGTGTTCAAGTCGCTGTGTAGATTTAGCTTGGAGGTTATGAGAATAGCTTGGGAACTGAGTATAGCGTTCAATTAACAAGACTTATCAAGTTGAAACAAATGAATTCAATCTCCATCACTATTCTGACCATTAACACGCTTTATACTGTGTTACTTGATTGTTAAGTCTTATGTTATCTGACCACAAATACCCCCTTATTGCTTAGTATTCTTTGTACATTGCCTCATTCGACTAGTCCTCAAAATATTTCAGACAAACTTAGTTGGAAGTGAGTCATAAAAGGAAAAGCTTTCGTATATTTATGATTTTACACAAGAAGGTTCAAGAGTCTACTAACGCTAATCGACTAAGAATGAATCAATTAATATGTTCCGACACAATCCTGGATGGAACTTACTTTAATCCAATCTATGTCTTGCTAACACTTATCGTTAACCTAGATAATTTATGTATTGACACATCAACTTTTCAATGTTACGTATTCTTACTTTTGTATTCGTGCATATGTAATGTTTATACATATGTAACTGGTAGATGGTTTCAACTGTGTATGATCGATTTTTATTCAGACTAACAACTGGACAATAAATAATCTGCTTTAATTTTATAGTACATAGTCTCCTTTTAATGTGTATAATTAATCCCCACTCTCACCTATTCATTATTTTGGCGCCTCCATTTTTCCAAAATTGTTGAAATACAACATTTAAGCATTAACTCATCACCGCCAACATTAAATGGTGTTACAATTTATTGTTTGCTGTGTAAGCATTATCTAAATTATTATTATTATTATTATTATTATTATTATTATTATTATTATTATTATTATTATTATTATTATTATTATTATTATTATTATTATTATTATTATTATTATTCAGCCACGATTACTTGAGAAATAGAATTTTTCATTTCTATTCTTGTAAATTATATTAGACTATTTGTAGAACAAGAAAGAATGAAATAACAAGAATAGGTCAGCAAAAATATCGTTGCTTACTAGTTTCACTTTTTATAAAACCGTGAAATCACAAGTGTATGGAGGTTTTGTGAAGATTGTTGAGTACCATTACGTTAACGAAATGATCTACATTAGGCAACCATTAAAAACAAGAAAGTAATGAACATCGACGTCGAACTAGTATGGGATATGTGGGCGATGTCCAAGATCTGATATTAATAAAAAACGCGCTACGCCTTAACCCCTCTCCTCCAAACTGACTCAGTCAGTTATCTACAACGTAGGACCAGGCACATATATGCAAGATGAACACGAAATTCATAGTAGCAGTTACTTCAGTGGTAGTAATATATAAAAGAAAGATTGTGTATAAGGATATAATACAGGAAGAAAGAATTAGTTCGTAGAAATAAAGGTATAAAGTAATTTTAATCTCACAGTTTAAGGGAAGACAAAGAGTGTGTACACCTACGTTATTGTGATCGATTCTGAGCCATGTCACCCAGAGTCTCCAACCATTGGTTACGATAGTCGCATGGGCCTCAACCAGGTATTCTGCATTTACCAACATGGCTCACATCAGAAGTTAATGACTTTATGGATTGATGCCACGTTTCAGTTTGGGTGCCCTTAACTTTCTTCCAACCATCTCTAACACTAGTCAGCATTGTACGCCGTGGTAATCGGTGTTCAGGTATACGTAACACGTGGCCAAACCATCTCAGTCGATGAAGATTCATGACCTCATCAACTGATTTACCATCATTCCCTGATACCCTGTGTCTAACCTCACTATTACGTACCCGATGATCCCAACAGATGCTGGCAATATTTCTAAGACATCTGTGGTCAAATACTAGTAAATTACGAGTGTGTTCTACTCCTAATGGCCACGTTTCGCAGCCGTGAAGTGGAACAGAACGAACTGCTGCACAGTATACTCGTTCTTTATTAATTGATAGATGGATATCTCGCCTTCTACAGAAGTGACGTAAGTTGGCCAGAGTCAAACGAGATTTTTGAATCTGTGCAAAGATTTAATCAGATACCAACCCATTAGGGATGGTCAGACTTTCAAGATAAGTAAAGGTGTCGACGCGTTCGACCACTTCACTCCTTTTTCTTAGTTCAGGTGTTGACGCGGTCCAGTCCTGAAGCAATACTTTACTTTTAGAGGGGGAGAAACGCATCCCAAACATCCTTACATTGTTGCTCAGTGCTACCAAAAGACTGCATTTCATCAGCGTCTTCGCCAAACAGTACTATATCATCTGCGAATTCTATGTCGATAATTGGACCTCGCGGTAGGAAATGAATGCCCGAAAATCCAGTCGATGTGAACGTCATTTTCATCAGAAGGTCCATGATGAAATTAAACAGATACTGGATAGCCTTGTCGGTCTATGCTCCTCCACAATGAGTAACGAGCGTAAGTAAGTGGGCCGGAACTCCTTAAGATCCCCTTGAGTGTCTTTCGGTTTACTTTAATTTGCCTACTTGAGCAATAAAATCACCTGCTACTATTACTACAACAGAGAGTTTAGATTTTTGAAAGTGATCGGACAGCTTCCCATAAAATTCATCTTTAATTTCGTCCGAGCTACAGTCAGCGAAACCATAAACATAGACAACGAAAGAGCAAAGGGGCATGTCCTCATTTTTTCGAATTCTTACTGTCCCTTTTAGTCGAACAGCACCTAAGCGACTGTTAACAGGGATATATTCTAAAAGTGCTTGTTTTGTCCTCATACTCAGTGTTATGCCTGCACCCATCAGTCCGGGAGAGTTTTTCTTCGAGTTGCCAGATAAACGGAGGAAGTATCTCGTCGGCTCCCTTTTTTGGCTAGGTGAGGTCAAGTGGATGATCACACTACGATCCTGAATGCGTGTTTCGAAGACACAGTGTACATCAATGGTACGAGATTCTAGGGTCTAAGCCAAAGAGATCTGCTGGTCGACTTGATTTATGGTACGAAAGTTGAAGGCTCCAAAGTGTTGTTTGGAGCGAGGTATCAGTGAACCTGGCACAGTATCTCGCGCACTAAAATCGTTGGCCATGGTGACACTTGAGAGAGAAAACAACAATGGAACGGGTCTATTAAGCTATATATATATATATATATATATATATATATCCCTTAGAAAATGAATCCATTTATTAGCCAATGATATGCAGTATCTTTCAGGTCATTTCTGGTTGTTCTCAAGCGACCTTATTTGGCTTCTGATTCGCTCACTATATCAGGACCTTTCAGCAGTGAGCATCCACAACGCTACTACGGTTTGAACACAGAACTTTTGGGATCAGCTTAGGCCCTTCGTGCTATATTGAAGCTTATGAAGTCAATCTCTCAAGGGGTCATGGATGTACTTTGCTAAACAATCCCCTATTCGACTAACAGACGCTCCCTGCTTTTCAGTGGCTAGATCGATTTGTGGTTTCAGTATTATACAATTTATATCACAATGTTAATCTGTTTAGCATTTTTTTAATAGTAATAATAATGGAATACAAATTGATAAAACATCGTATCTGTTTTATTGCTCCTCGTTTGTTGTTGTTTTTGTATAGGTGGCAGATCATATCAATGAACGTAAACGTTATCGTGAATTATTAGATCAACTTCGGATTACTCGATTAGATGTAGATGATTGGGGTGATCTTGTATTACATGATCTTTTCCGTATACCGGGTAAAAAAGACCTACGTCTTGTTCTCTTATTTCAGTGTGCACTTATCCTATGCAAATATACACCACCTACATCTTCAACCGGTATCAGTTTGTCAACTTCCCAATCCTTAACTATCAATGATTACTGGAGCAATACATCGAATGTAATGACAACTAAAACAATGAAATCACGTGGTGGATCAGATAGAGTATCAGGAAATTCTAGTCATAGGATTTCAAATGTTAGATCGATCGAAATACGTGAAGTGATTAGTGTGAGTTTATGAAATAGAAATCGGCTTATTTCCCCAATTTTTTATTCGAAAAATCCCTGGATCTAGTTCAACCAAGCTCTCAAAAGATGTAAATTCGAATAAATGTCTATATCTTGCAGGGTTTATTTTTCGCAAGTTGAGACACAAAATGAATACTATTGGAAACTTAAACAAAACTCTGTCGTTGTTTTTCATGAGAATACTGTATAAGATATTTAAAAAAACGTACCAGATGTTGATTGCGTCAGTTAACTGATGACAGTAGTGTATCGAAAAGATAAGGATCTTTCGACATACACAATTTACTATGAATAGTTAAATTACTACGTATATCGTTCATAATTTCTTCGTGTTTTTTAGGAAGACCGATATCTCCATCAAACATACCTAGAAAAATTCTAGTGATCCCATCGACCTGGTAGTTTGACTATAGAACAAGTTCTTTCTAACTCCTTCGTTTTTGCTTTTGAGATATCAGTTGAATACTTTACAACCTGTTATTTTCTACATCAGAAATATTCTTAAGATATTAGAGTATGGTGTATTTGAAGTCTTCTCTTTCGAATTCATTCTGTTTGTTGAAAGACAGAAACTTAGGGAATACCACCATCACATCTCAGTTCAGTTGGGAATCCTTTGTACCCCAACCTCTATATCTTCGGTTGTACTACTGTGCAACTTATATTGTGGGCGTGATAATATTTCGGAAAACAAGTGTCTCAATCAACATCGCTCAAAAGACCAGTTCGATTATAGTGTTAAATTAGTGTTTGTAGTCGAAGTAATAATAGATTTATTATTATTATTTTATATAATTCCATTCGATAAATATTGAGTGATCGGCAAATAGATGTCAGCAATTCAAGAATCGACATCTGAATAATGTTCATTCTTTTCGATGTATATTACTAGTAACCATAATGTCAGTGATTGTGCTCTTTCCTAACTTGTACAGCGAAAGGTCGTGAACTTTTCACAAACTCACTTGTAGTAAGAGTTATCAGTCGTTCATGTTGCTTCATCAGATGTTTCCACAGCTGATATTTATGGCTGCTGTATCTGGAGGATTAGAAGTTGATTATTAGATATTTAATGGAGCAACTCACCCGAGATCAAATAATGGCAACAGATTGTCGTAACATTTATATATGAAAATTTATTAATTCTAAGCGACTCTACAACAAGTAATAATTACTTCGTGATAAACTCACATTTCAAACAATGGACAACATTAACCAAATGTCATTACAAAAATGATCGCTTCAATATGGCCACATATGGACCTCATCATTTTATATGACAAGTTGGTTTAACCGGTGACCAGTGAGATAAGAGAATTATTTTCAGTCACTCATAAGTAGTATAATCGTAATATACTAATTTCATGCATGGTTTATGTGAGACATCACCTGAGTTGATAACAATGGTTACCGTTTGTTCAATTTCTAACCTTCTGTGATCATCAAAAGTTTTGGGATTCTGATTTCACCATTCATCTGAATTTTCCTTGATTCTCATATCTGTTTTCTCTTCTTAAATGTATTATTTTTCAGGTACTTATATGCATATGTATACTTGTTAGCATATCGTACCACTAAACACTTTCGTGATTTATTCCCGCTTTAGGACAAACTTCAACAGCTGAAATAGAATGTAACTCTTGGATTGTTTTTACCGTCCTAAAAGTGTATTCTTTTCATAGGAGATTGCTATCTTACCCAGTGCTTGTTTCGTCACATTACACTTTGTCTATTGCAAACCAATATTAACGCTTTCAATTAATCATATTTTGAGTTGGTACATCCTCCTTTTTTAATTGTTATCTTACTGTATTTCTAAGTATTTTACTGCCTGAAACAAATTTACCTAAATTAATTCTATTACATCATCATGTTCATTCCTTATTCTTAGATTCTCACGAAACTAATACTTCAACAAAGAATTTTCATATATAGAATATGTATACGATTGTACAGCTTGATAATAAATTCGTTGAAAAGAGATCCCTTCGCTAAAATTCGTATTAGTCCTTTATTGCCACTTTCGCCCAAACGGCATTAGTCTATTATTTATTTATTTAAACACATAAATATTGGTACAAGGAAGCACCAGATAAATATACGCCACACAACTCTCATTTGATTTTTGTGAGGGCTGTGATATTGCTCAGGTGCACAGACTAAAGCAGGTCTTTTTCTTAGGTGGCCACACCCGGAGACTTTGACCTACAGGTCTGATCCACAAGTCAGTGGAGCATCGTGGGGAGATGCAGTCTCATGGTAGCCGGTGACCAAAAATTGGTTCATACGCCATTTGTTCCTTTAGGATACTAGAGCCAACCCATGTTCACCATCAGTTTGGAATCAGGGTTTTCCAACTCCCCTAGGTGAACTTTCCATGTCCACCAACCCGGTTAATGCGCCGGACATTCACTTTTCGTCCTCTCGATTTCGTAAACAACAGTAATGCCGCCAGAAAGCAGTGAGTAGGACTTCCCTGACAGAGGCTATATACGTGTGGCCATGGGAGAGCATTTGGAGAGGGAGAGTGAACTCTCCCCACTCTCGACCGTACCAGGACATTTGGGGGCACGGGATTAATCTAAGTAAAATATATGAAATCAAGCTGATAATTCATGTTCATTGTTGGTTCCTTCGTCAGATTAATGTTATTAAAATGCTCAGTTAGTCAACCACATTCATCAGTTGATTATCTTCAACCTAATTAATTCATAATTACAATTTCTGTTTACAATAATTTTTCTCTCTTTGATTTTTCTTAGTGTACTAATTTAATGCTAGTTGAATGTATCGATAAAGATCCATTAGCATTTCATATATTACCATTTGATAATCCTAAAGCACAACGTACTTTACAAGCAATCAATTTAGATATTAAACGTTTATGGTGTCGTGAAATAAAACGTTTAATATTAGAAAATTATGATGCAGCTATTCCAGAAAGAGCAAAACAAATTGTACTTAACATGGCAGATTTAACTTATGGTCCACCTATTAAAGATATATCTGATCTACCTATGAGTTTATGTAATTTACAGCAAGTTGGAACAAATAATTTTGAAGATGACTGTTTAAATCAAAACTGTTCAAATGATCGAGTACATCGTAAAAGTGATACAGCTCTTCCAGGTGAGTAGTTTTCTTTGTTGTTTTTGAATAAGTGAATTCTAATAAATGTATTATGATTCATTTTTATTGGTTTAAGTTTTTCCATTGTTGTTTAAGATTGCAATTGATCAATCTCTTATTGGCATAAGTGCGTCCTTTGCAGATTACCTAGATATCACCAATTAAGTCACAAGCATTGTAAGCAGAAATAGATGAGTGACTAACAGTGGAATCCAGGACGCATGTTTCGTCCTTTTCGGGACTCGTTACCTGAATGTACCTGCATTCAAGAGTTGATGTTCGCTTCGAGAAAAAGACCAGTCAGTCAGTCAGTCAGCTACAACGTAGGACATCGGTCCAAGTTGCCATACCTCTTTAGCACAGCAAGTTGAACACCGAATTCATAGTAGTTAATTTAATGGTGGTAATATATAAAAGAAAGGTTGTATATAAGGATATAGTACAGGTAGGAAGACAGATATGAAGCAATTTTAATCTCGAGGTTTAAGGAAAGATGAAAAGTGTGTACACCTACGCCATTGTGATCGATTCTGAGCCATGTCACACAGAGTTTGAGACTGATCAATTTCATACTTAAATAACAATAGAGATTCAAATAAACGATATAAATGAATAAAGAATCCACTTCATCGCACAGGTCAGTGGTAGCAAATGAAGCGGACGGTACTGGGTCCGAGTCTCGCATTATACACCAAATCTTGGATGCAGATATATCTAGCTGATAAGTCCCAGATAAGACGAAACGCATATCTTAGATTCCACTGCTAGCCACCGTCATTCTCTTTTGTAAAATTGTGATATGATTATTTCACAAAATGTTTGAATTGTAGCCATTGCTTCTTAATAACTTATTTAGTCTCTATTCTTAGTTATAACTATCATACTACGTCAGTGGCTGTCACCAGAAACCGGTAACTTATTTTATTCACAGCCGAGACTTACCATCTAGATATTTTTACATTGATACTGGTTTGTAAATTCTACGTCTAGCACTATTCGCCGACTCTGGGACTGGTTGGAAAAGCTGAGGGACAACCAGTTCATGACAGTGCTAGGGGTGTATAGGAAGGCTGTTCAGGACTGGCATCTGTATATGTGAGAGGAAGAGTCAAAAAGCTCTCCATGTTAAACATTCCAGACGACAGGAGATTTTTCATTACCTCAAATGTTAAGTTTCTGTTTTCGACACTCGTTCTTGTGTATTCTGTTAAATTGTTTGTTATAGAGGAGATTGTTATTGTTATTCACTTTACTTACCATTTTTAATTTATTTAATGTGTGTGGTCATTCGTTAACGGATCTTTTTTAACCTTATCTGATACTATATCAGGTGCCACATTGATTGATGAATTCTGTTTGCTATTGTTCAAGTTTGTTGGGTTGATTTATTATGTTTTTGGTAGAACACTATTCATTGTTTGATAGAAACACATTTACTGTGGCAAGTAACTAGTTTTGTATCGCCTAACGATTTATATAATGGATGCCTTATAACCTGATTGCACTGAGCCTCTTTAATTCAATTCTGACTGTAAAACATGGTCGAAACACTGGACAAAGATTCTGTGCATTTTGTATTTTTTATACTTGTCTTAGAGGAAGAGATGGGTGGTGTCTAGTAGGACGAAATACGCATCCTGGATTCTTCTGTTAGCCACCATCCATCTCTGTCCATAATGTTTGTTATTTGATGCCAGTATCAAGTCGATCCACACAGGATGTACACATGCTAATAGGAGGTTTCGTATAACAATTTCGGCTACATAATCTATATGTTTAGTTTTTTAACTATCATTGATATGAAATACAGCGACTTAGGTCATTAAAAACTCATCGATTATGACTATCTGCCCTATTGATGTGTAGTGTAATAACTGTGGGTGATGTATCAATTCTCGTATATCGATAGTTGCAGTAGTAACGGTAGCAGTTGTTATGTGCTACAGTAATATGATTAAAGAATACTTACCTGATTTGTGCTTAAAAACTGAGAATCTGACTCTAATGACGCCTAGTAAAAACCGAAAACTAGTGATACTATTATATCCGGACGAGAATAAATGAATGGGAACCGTTAGGAATTACTTGTGAACTAATATTATACGACTATTCTTATTGTATGACTAATAAGTGACTATAATATATTTATATTCATATTCCTTTTATTATAAGCGTTTATGTGATCTATTGAGCATTATCATGCGATTTACTATTCTTGAGATATTCCCAATTTATTAGTAAGAGTCTCTCACAACTACAACCACTTTGGGTTTGATCTTGTACAAATGTTACCTTCTATTTCATGGTGTGATGAAGTTTGGTTTGTTTGTATAAAAGCTCAGTATGTCTAAAATATAAGATTCGTGTCCCGGAGGCTGATATTGGCGTTCTGGTGTGAACCGGCTAGGTTAGAAGAGAAGCTGTTATCTCGGTGGACCAATAAAAACTCTAAGCTGCTCGTTCAAGTTGTGCGTCATTGGTCTGGTCGCATAAGTCTGTGTCTCTCATTGACAGTCGTATAGCGTGATATACTTAGTCGGCCACAAGAACGTAACAGATATGAATCTATTTGATGCTCGAGATCAATCAAAATGACGCATGAATACACTATCTTTTTATATAATTTTCGTACAGCCAGATCAATGAATTGGTATAGTTTGACTGAGTTGTATTTAACGTACTTACTCACAATATCATATTGCTGTACTAATTCTGTCATATCAACAGTTGATGTCGTTAACTTCTTCATTCATTTGACTTAAGAAAAATATATATATTCAAACTCTTTTACATCATTATCATCAGGTCTTCGAAGCTTTTTAAATCGACAAACAAACAAACATTCAGTTTATTCAAATCCAATTCACACACCTAATCTATCTTTGAATAATAATAATATCAATGAATGCAGAATACCTTTATCAGCAAATGGTTGTGTATTGAATGGCAAGAAAAACGTCATCAGTGATAAATTCTTACCCTCTGATGATGATAGTAATAATTCAACTGATAGGCATCTTGATTCATTATTACACGAAGCCTGGGAGGAAATATGGGCTAAACATCAGCATTCACCAGTTAAAGCAACTTTTGTAAATGGTCAGTCAGATTCTTTGGAAAACGGTAATCTTCATAATTATCATCAGGATAATTGTAAATTGCATACAGAGGATGTTGATTTATCTGGTTCAATAGTAACAACCAAAGCGAATAATGATGCAGACTTCCGGTGTATTGCTGTAGAAATTAATGAAGAGAAATTTGGTCTTTCATCACCTGTTACTGTGCCAACGTGTACTGTTAATGAAAATAAGAAATACTCAGTATCTTCACTATCTAATTTAAATACAAATCCTTCAAATTGTTGTGTAAATAATTCAGGTAAATATAACTATATTTACTAAAAGATTTTCAAGCATTAATCATTCATTATTTATTGGTATTTATTTGAATGTTTCCGCTATTAGTATCAAGGTCTGAATTTTGATTAACCTCTGTTAGCGTATTTGCATACTGAGCGGATTCACTTGGTACAAATACTTAAGGAAAGATGGATAGTGGCTATCAGTATGTTTCAGAATACATTTCTCGTTTTGTGTGGAACTCGTCAGCTGGATGTACCTACCACATTAGTGTTGATATTCGCATCGGGACTCAAACCGGTTATTTTTCGCTCCAACAACCCAACATACTATCTACATTAACGTTGAAATGATTTAGGCACAAATAAGTGGTTGGACTCGACCCCATTGTATAATCTAATGGCTACCTAGACTCCGTAGCTATGTAGATGATGTACAAGACACTGGGTTCAAGTCCTGGTGTGAACATCAACATGCATGTAAGTACATCAGATACACGAGCCACTACCAATGTTTACCTAAATTGATCAGTCATGTTTAGAAAGTTCACAAAGTCACATCAGTTAAATAAAATACTTACATTGATTGGCTAATATGTAGTGACTACTGATATCATGTTTGTTTATTCTTTAGTACCAATCGAATTCCGTTAATCAAAGTAATTGTATTAATTATCAAGTAAACTTAGTTAACGAAGTCCTTAAATAAAAGTTACAGTATAAACTATGTTACTTCACTATAAAATTTCAGGTTCTAAAGAAAGACAGAGTGAATGCATGTGCTTCGTTGTGAACAACTCTGAACCATGTCACCCGAAATATCTGATGATTGGTTACGATAATCACGCGAATCCCAAACAGATAATCTACACCTATTAACATAATTCAGTCCAATTGTCAATAACTTCATGTAATGGTACCAAGTCTATGTTTGGTCACCCTTAGCTTCATCCACCGAGCATTTTCCTCTTAAAGATTTGACTGATATCTTTTTAAAATACTACATTTTGGTTTTTATAAAGTGATCTTGCTAAATTAGTTTGCCCCAAACAAAATGAAGTAGGAATTTTCCTAAACTAACCTTTTTTGTATAGAATTATTGTGCCCCGACGTGCAATGGTTTATGGTGTAGGAGTAGATTTGAAAGAAGTTAGGGGTGGCCAGACCAAAACGTGGCATAAATCCATGAATTCACTGACAATGGGACTGAGCCATACTGGTAGGTGTAGACTACCTGGTTGGAATTCGCGAGATGACAGCAATCGATGGTTAGAGACCTTGAATGATATGGCTCAAAATCGTTTGCAATGGCGAAGGTGTATGCACTCTTTGTGTTCTGCCAAATTCTAATCTTCTGTATTCTTCATGTTATTCTCTTTCCAAATTTATTTCACTGTATTATACTCCTTGAATAACATCTTCAAACCCTAATCTTTCGGATTGCTGCTTATACTCTTACTACTCTTACTACTTCTACTTACCACTTCTACCACTACTTCTACCACCATTGGGAGTAACAGGCGTAAGTAAGTAGTAAAGTAACTTCTACCACTATGGGATTTGAATCAACAACTGTATCTCTGTGCTAATGTGGCATGGAAACTTCAACTGATGTGCGTACGTACGAAGTTCTACGCTGTGACTGACTGACTGACTAACCTTAAATATATTGAAATGACTAATAGAATATTTGGCAATAACGTTGCATGACAGATCGATAAAAACCAACATTTTTCTTACTTTTTTTTCCTTTCCCAATAAATCAGATAACTTCAAATTTTCTACTCCTACTTCATCATCTCCTTCTTCACAACATTTATTGCATTATTCTTCATCACCTAATTTTCCACCTTGTCAACGATCATCATCAACATTGTTATCTAATAAATCTGCACATAATCACAATCGTACAACTTCCGTTTATATTGACTGTCCAAATACATCATATTATGATGTAATTACGTTCGGTCGAACTTATGAACAGTATATTGCTAAAGCACGAGCAATGGTAGCTTTATCTCCAAAAGATTTAGATGAAATATTTAGTCCATTACGAGAATTACCATTTATTAATCGTGAAAATCAATTATCCCATACTTCACTTCATTATCACAATCAAGATGATATATTATCTACTAATGTTATCAATGTAACAACAACTCATTGTTCAACTATTCCATTAATATTAAACACAAATGTTAATTCAGTGAAACAATTATCTGATAGCAATTCGACAACGATGGTGAAGAATCGAAATTGCTTAGGTTCTGAATTAAAATTATCTTTAACTAATCTTACATCTTCTGTAGAAGAAAATAATGGTAATGATAAAAGTAATGATTATTGCTCATCGTCTGGTGCTAGTTCTCCACGACATTTAGTTAGTTGTATCGCTGTAACACATAATCGAAATGGACTGAATAGTAATTTAGTAACAAAAGTGAGTGTGTTTTTTCACTTCCCTATTTGATAAATATAATGATAGTTGTTTGTTTTATGTTACCAGATAACATTAACTGCTCAAAATAACTAGAATGAATGAATCTAAATCTTCAGCAGTTATAATTTCTGGTTAACTTTTGAAGTATAACACCAGGATTTTTAGATTTGTTATGATGTAACGACTTACTTACTTACTTACTTACTTACTCCTGTTACATCTTGCAGGGAAAATGTCACCGACCAGGATTCTTAAATCAACTTTGTTCTGAGCTCTTCATTCTAATTATTGGCATGTGCTATTCATTCTTTCGATGCCTACCTCTAATTTCCAACACAATGTGTTATTTGGTCTGTCTGTTCTTCTTTTGCCTTCAGGATTCCAAGTTAGAGTTTACTTTGTGATTCAGTTCGATGATTTTCTCAATATGTATCCTGTCCACTCCCAGCGTTTTTTCCCCTAATTTTCTCTTCATCTGAAAGTTGGTTTGTTCTGTGCCACAGTAGGTTGTCGCTGATGGTATCTGGTCAACAGATCAGGTGCATCTTTTGTAGACAACGGTTCATATATAACTGTACCTTTTCTAATGATGATTGTGGTAACTCTCCAAGTCTCAGCTCTGTACAATAGAATTGTCTTGATGTTTGTATTAAAAATTCTGATTTATTTGTCACCAAGTAATATCTAACTCTGTAGCTATAAACAAATATCTTTTTGGTTTCTATTGCTTTTCTAACTGTTTTCCAAATAAATTCTTTGTTGAACAATATCGAATGAAAATCAGTTTATAAGTAGCTAGTTAGATAAAACGGGAAATAAAATAGAAAATTCTTTAATTCTCAAAACACAATAAAATAGATGGCGTCTCCAAGCTGAAGATGTTAAGTGACTCTATGCTACGTCCGATCATCCTCGTCTTCAAACAGGAATTCTAAATTTGTCTATGAACAACATGTTTGTAATGCTGATATCCGGCAATGTATGTAGCGATAATTAAACTAGTATTACCGCCTTGGACACTTGTCATGAATGTCATCCCAGGACCTTCCTCATCGTGCATTATTTGCCGACGTTGGAACTGGATGCGAAATTCACTCAGTCGATGATGCATTCGTACATTGTGTTAATATTTCGCAATTACGAATTCAATACAATAAATGAGACAACTTTTATTCTCTTCTTTCTGCCTTGGGAACTGGAGTAAAAAAGCCAGTTTGATAATGGAAGCTTTTTTGATGATTATTTCAGTATATCAATCAAAAATGTATTTAAGTTAACCATCTGTTGCTAAACAAGAATCATACTAAAAGTTTATTGAAAGTCTATGAGTAGAGTTCTCACTGAGTAGTTTACAATACCGAAAATTCGTATTGATCGATATTGATTTGCCTCCTCATAAGTTGTATTTCGGGATTGCATATCTTGAACAGGTAGTCAGGTTATGACATTAAACCATAGTATAAAAGGAAACTGTCATTTGTCATTTTATCTTGGTTTATCTGGTTGGCATCTTAATGATCTCTTGAACTCGGTAACTTGACACACTATCAGATATGTGTTAGAATCAAACTCAGTGACGATTCTCCCATGATTTTCCTTTACATTTTTCGTAAAAGTGTGTAAGAATTTCTCTAACTGGAAGAATTCTTCTTAGTTATATTTTTCAGAAAACTGAACTGTCTCTCTTATTTAGATTGTTATTGAAATACTTTTTATTCGGTTTTTTCTTTCGATTATACCCCCTCACTTTGTCTGTCTCGTTACAATCTCACCATTTTATTCGTATGGGGCAAATTTTTTTGATTCTCATTTCTATTGGAATGAATGAAGACTTGGTTATAGGGTAAACCAATTTATTGTATTAAACAAAATCACACACAGCATTTGTAAAATTTGGAACAATACTTCGAATACACCATTTGCACAAGACCCTTGAGTCTTCCTTTATAAGCTCGATCGTCCTTTTGTTCCTTCTGCTACTCAGACTGTTTCTGTTTTTCTTTCTCTTCTCATATTCTTCTTCTGTCAGTAAGAATTGTACTTCCAATTCTTTATACATGCACTGTCCGTAGTAAACCATGTCAGAATATATATATATATATATATATATATATATATATATATATATATATATATATATATCAAATAAGTAAGATATAGTTTCATTTCTTTACTTGATTGTTTAGAATATAACTGTTTTGCCGAGTAACACCACTGATACCCCAGCCATAACAATGGACAGTCGTGTATCAGCTGCAAGATCGAATTCACTATCATCAGGATTCCGAACAAGTGAATCCAAAAATAATGTTGATCTAGTCGATAATTTTGATCGTGGACGAAGGTATGTCAGTGAATCGACATTTCTTTGTAGTTTGACTAGTTTTAAATTTCAGTCGAAATTTTTTTTCACTATGCAAAATATTATGTTGAAAAATAATGATTGTAGGTGCTTAATAGTTTCGTATATCGATTGATGATTGTGTCCCGACCGTTGCTGCTACCTTGACTTGGTGGTCGGGCTTGCCTATCGTGATGAATCAATCGAGCTATGCTGGCTGGAACAATCGTTCCTCAAGGTCCTACCATGCCAAACAGGTCGGTTGAAGAGCGGTAAGACTGAAAGCAGCAATCCCAAGGTTCGAAGGCGAAGTCGTACTGCTGACTGTACAGAGGTGTGACGGCAGTAAAGTGTTTCCTTCAGACAACCAGCATGACAGCGATGCTGCCTTCCCACAAGGAGGGGTGGGGTTAGAAAAGGTCGACCCTAAAAATGCACACCTCGCCTTATCCCACGGATATCCGTCTCCAGCGGTAAGGTCCTTTGAAGAACGGAGCTAACACAAAAACTACCCACAAAAAGGTCGTGTATGACCGACCTCAGGTAGTTGTCCCTTGGGTACTGCGGTCACGCTTTCAGGTCATTAAGACCACTTCTAACCCTATTTCCTTTTCAGGTACCCCTAGAAGAACCCTTCCACGGTGTGGGCAACCGGGAAGTGATAACTTCGTTCATACCTCTAACAGCACTCAAGATCACTGACTGATGATTGTTTTTCGTCTCCGTTTATCAATAATTGTTTATCGAAAGATACATTATAATTTTGTCTTTTTTTTGTTTAGACCAGTTACTTTAAACATTTAGTTCAGTAATTGGTTACACTTTCTTAGCGATCTTTACTTCCAGTTTATTATCTTATCTGTTCAAATATTGTCCGGTTGCGTCAAGGCTAATTGGGCGAATTTATAGTTCAAACTCCTGACCTAACTTTGAGTAGTATAATTAATAAACTTTTTCAGATCTATCTTACCTACTTAGGTAGTTTATTTAACCTTGATACAATAGATTTGGCTAATTACTTGGTTTGCGTATTTTTATTTTGATAAGTTTGTTAATTGAACGCTCGATCTGATTTCTTAATCGCTTCTAACAAACCCAGACTAAATCACATATACTGCAACTTGAACACAAGAAAAAAGGCGCCAAATGCAAAACAGACACTTCACTCTAAGGTTCTTTTATGCACCAAAAATTGTGAGTATTTACGCCAAATAACGTAACATTGGTCGTATCGGCACTTCCAAAAGCCAGAAACATAGTAAATATGGTAGTAATAGGGTAGTTATCCAATCAATAACGTGGCGCGTAGTCTCTCATCCTTCTAGATGTTTCGAACAGACTTCCATTCAATCCTAATTGGATAGTTTTTCCCAGCGTTTTGGGGGCTTTTTTTTGCTTTTCTGAGATTGTTTTTAGGATTTCACAATAATTCGGTTGCGGAGTGGTATTATATTGAGATTTAAAAATACGAAAAAAGGTCGAATTGTAATTTAATCCGTACGTTTAGATCAACAGTATTATCATGTGGAAAATCAGGATATACAAAATAAATTAGGCGATGAAGACTATTCAACTACTATCAATATTATATTTATTTGTCCGTTTACAGTTCACCTTTAGTCCATCTTCATAGTCCAGTGTTTGTGTACATGTATGCACCTTGTATAATAAAGTTAATTTCATTTTGTCGAATTGCTGAACATATCAAACAATAATGATGACTGTGCCTTAATTTCAAGAGAATCATTCGATTAGAAATGTATTCAGTTTGTTTTTCCCGCATCTTGTTCACAAGTAGTCAACAAAACTCGATTATATGTCAGTTGGGATTCAAGTTAACTCACTATTTTTAAAGTTTACATTAGTATAAAGGGTTTATAGAGATTACTGGATTTGTTTTATAGATTACATTACGGGTTGATCCTAGGTAGCTAAATATGTGTTAATTTGTCAGAACATAACAAAATTGATGATGAACACACCATCATTTCAAAAGAGGATAAAATTTCTGTAATATTTCACTAGGTATATACTACTTATATGAATGTAACAGAGATAATATAGCGAGAAACTTTACTAACTTAATGTATATTTCATATCATTTTTGTTATTATTAGTTTTAGACGTTCGAATCTTGATTCAATTGATAGAACTATGAACCGTCAAATTTCTCATATCCACATCAATTCTAGATCACCTTTAAGTTCACCAAAAAGATCTCAATCACATGTATTTGTATCAAATGGTCGGTTAAATAAATCCAGTGTTTCTAAACCACCTAGATTTGTAAGCTACAACAGTCCATTGGAATCTGTTGGGAAATCACTTAAAGGTAAGAAATTTTGCTTGTAATCAGTAATATCATTGAATGATTCCAGCATAAAATATCGTTTGTTGACATCCATCAACATCAAGGTATCGTCATATTGTTTTGTAAAGCACGAAAAATTTGTCCCAGAACTTTTGTAAAGCATTTTCAGCATCTACAAATGTTTATGAAAAATTTCTTCAACATTCTGTTGTTTGCCAAGTTGTTTGGAATGTCAATTTATGTGTATTCCCATCACCTTTCTGATAGGATTAGAAGGGGATATAATATACAGTCTGCTGTGCATACATATTCAAAAGAAATTCTCTTTTGTCATGGATAGTATTTAAGGGACTGGACTGGAAATAAAGACTAGACTGTGAGACTATAATTTGTGGACAAACCAATGAAGTTAAAGATGGCACGTTTTGGATTTTGGCACGAAAATTCATTCATTCATATGGTTAAATAACAATTTAGCATTGTAGTTGATATCTTTTCGTAACGAAAACTTTAACTTCTAACTCTTAATTCTAATCTCTTATTCCTTACATTAGTTTATAACCCTTTTAGCATAAAGGTGGGTATTCTCAAGGTCAATTTGTAGTCGTTCAAAGGTGGTCCATAAATTATAGTCTCATCGAAAGTCATGGCTTTGTCCTACGTCAAAATTTCACATCCTAAAATTGTGCACTCTTCTTTTTGATCATAATTTTCTGTAACACTGTGACAATCAATGCTTTTGTAAATAATATTCATGCTTTCATTTTGTAACCTTACAGTAATCTCACTAGTTGATAAACTGTTCATGTTATGACTTTTGCCCCTGTCAATTATCACGTTACAAAATCGTCAATCTGAATACAGACTACTATGACCTTTTCCCTGTGCTAAATTAATGACTTGAGTTAACTCCGAGACCTTATTGATCTTCTGTATAGTAGTTCTTACCTAGTCCAGCTCGTTTAGTTCAGAATACAATCCCAACCTCCACCATATGAGTTGTATATTTCAGACATCCGTAATCTATATACAAGCAAACCGGATCGCATCAAACCATGAAATGAAAAATAATTATTATACGAAATCACGCTAAAAGTGGCTATGAGTATAGGAGACTGTAACTAATAAATTGGAAATAAATTAAGAATGGTAACTCGTATAACAATAGCCAATAGATCAAGTGAAAGTTTGTAATAAAAGGAATATAAATATGTATATAATCTGGTTACTTAATGTTATATCGATTGCCTGAGTGCCCTATTAATATATGTGACGTGATGATGCCGCCAATTGGAGAGGAGTGAAGTATCGATTAGAGCGATGATACACAAAAGCCGTATGAGCATTCTTGAGTACTTATCAGTCCTGCTTTCTCTGCCTAGTTCACCCAGTTAAGTTCAGAACACCAATAACAGCCTCTGCAATATCAATCATTATTCTCAAACATACTAGGTTTATTTACCAATCAAACTGACCACATAGTACCATAAAATAGAAAATAACATTTGTACAAGATTTGATCAAATGTGGCTGTGAATAGGAGGAACAGTAATTAATAGACTGGGGATAACTCAAGAATGGTAAATCGTACAGTAATAGTCTATAGGTCAAAATGAAGCTTATAATAAGAGGGACATAAATACGAATAGTTTAGTTACTTAACAATTATACAATAGGAAATATACATATCATATTTTTTGATGGATTTCAAAGTCACGGTGGCAATTTCAGTACCTGATGCTCATGTACGGTCGGTTCACAGAGAATTTTAGAGAAGACTTGACAATTAAGCTGCTACAATAGATGAGACTATTAAGAATTTCCTGTATTTTTAATTGCGGGTATTAAATGACTTGTAGACCTTGTGCAGACTACCATGATGTTGTCCTTCAATGTAATATATGTTGAAGGAAGACGTTTGCTAGAATAGGAACCTTCATTGCTCGATTCAGATTGAGACTAAGGCATATTATAATAATTGCCGCAAACTGTATAATAAAAGCACCAGTAATATTGGCTGCAATCATCGCAGATGTTACTGAAGCTTCGGCTGTTCAGTGGTATGAGTATTGTAGAGACATATCCATAATAAAAATGATAAACTTAAACAACCAGAGTACACACAAACAATATTGAAGCTATGTGGTCGAGGCTGAGAAGGTTTTTGTTACCTTATCATGGTTCCAGAGACCAACTATTATGGAGTCATATGAATGAGTTCCTCTACCTTATGCATTACGATTTTGGAACCTTTGAACCTTTTTCTAACCTTGACAAGTTTTTGGAAGTGTATCCACTTTAATTATTTGGTTTTGTATAATAGATTTTTACTATATGCTGACTGTTTACTGATTGACTAATATTTCTCATGGTCACTTGAGATTCGTCCAAAGGTCATCCATAAATTATAGCCTCGCCATTTTCGTTAAGACAATTACAATTTAGGGTGAATAAAACGTCCGCGTTTGGTTATAGTTGATGCAGATAGTGAACTTGAATTAACTATTTCGAGTTACATTGACATTTATTTCAACATACCAAACCTTTGTGTGTAAAATAAATCTCTATAATTGTATTATACCAATATCTCGGTAATCAACATTGCTCAGACTAGACAGTGTTGTGATTCTGTCCTTTTGCTTTCTTTTTCAAATCTTATTTCGTATCATGTTGTTCTTACGTAATTATTTAAATATTTATCTTCCCATGAAATCCCATACTATATCGAAACAGCTGTTCAATGGTTTATGGTCTTCAATGGTACCGTTACTATAATAAATCTGAGATGAATATCATCTAAAGATTATGATTTTCGGAAAGTTTACTTATTCAAAATGTATTTATATACGTCTGTTTGCGAGACTATAATCTATGGACGAACCAATAAGATTTAGGATAACAGATCTCGGATTTTGGCGCAAAGTTCATTTATCCATTTATTCGGCTAAATAATGTTTTGGCATTTTAGCTGATGTGAGTTTGTGATTAGGACCCTAAATCTAGTTCATAAGCCTAACCATCAATTGTAAATCATAATCTCTATTCTTCACACTGCTTTATAACCCTCAATTAGTTCTAGTTAGTAGGTGAACATTCTCAAGGTCACTTGAGCGTCGTTCAAGGGTCTTCCATAAATTATAATCTTACCGGTATACAAAATTTGGAAAAATTTCATTCAGATTCACATTTACTGCATATAATTTAGTTCGGGTATTATTTTGGTTGTGAAGTAAATGATTCAAACAGTCCTAATTCATCCAAATTATTTCTCCTAGTGAAATATGTTTCGGTTCTTTTTGAAAGGAAAATAATGTAAATTTAAGTGAAGATGAATGATGGCTAGGTGTTGTATCCAGGACATAAGTTTCGGTTTTTTATCTGACTCGTCCGTTCTGTGTGTCCGCCACATACATATCAATGTTGTTGTTCACACAGGGGTTCTGACCTATTATGTTTTTTTGTTTCGAACACTCAATGTGTTATCCCCTGAGTCTAGATAGCTACTGACTTATGTAACGGGGATAAATTTTATTATTGATCTGTGTTTAGACTCTAGAATGAACATCAATACTGGAATGGAAGTACATCTAGCTAACACGTTAACCACTATTCATGTTTACTTATATATTTATAACTTAATAACATAATAATATCACGGCATCCCATTTAGGATGTACTTAAACCAAAATAGATTGATCAAGTATCAGTTACGAATACCAACAATTGGAAGATTCAGATACAAATAAATGAAATCACATTAATCTGAGATGTTGTCTTTTCCTTTTATTATTATTGTTTTATATACTGTTCTCAATATTCTCCTGTGAAAAATGAATCTTTAGCTAACCATAATCAATCAATGGACCATGATAAACAGTTGACACAGAACATGACAAACAAGATTTCTTCCTCCTCTCCGTTATATAATAATGATGATGTATTGAATAAACGAGGACGTCGAAAGTCTCGTGCACCTGCTCCACCAATCAAATTATTGGAGAATACCTCTGAAACTACAACGGTATTTACGACTTCCACTACTACTGTTACTACTATTACTACTACTACTACCACTACTACTAATGCTACCACTACCACCACTACGCTTAGAGCTCCATTAGCAGTTTCTGAATGTGGTATGTTCTACTGTTATCAACTTCATTATATTAGTTTAAAACAATTTAGTTTGCTTTATGGAGTTCTTTTGGTTTTGTAGCAAAAGGATTTAAGAAGAGAAACTGGTATAAGCATGTTGTACTGGTGACTTCCAACGATTTATCAGCTATTCAAAAAAACCATATTTAGTGATAGAATGAATGATAATAAAAAGTAATTAGTTTCAATAATAAATAGTTTTGACGCATGGTTAATGAATGTTTACCTATTTATGTGTGTAGTAAGATGAAAAAAGATTGGGTTTAGTAATGTTATGAGTCAGAGTTGGGTTTAAGAGTTGAGGTTAGGGTTTTCATCACGAGCGGACATAAGCCATAATCTTTGCTATGCTCTGAATCCTATAAAGTACGCTCAACGATTAATTACTCTTTCGGATACAATGTATCACAAGCTGATATTCCTTGTAATTTGGCTTACATAGAATATCATATTCATTGTGTAGGGCAGTATAATATTTGTATTTATTAACTTGAAGCATCTTAAAAACCAGATGTAAGTAATTTGTACCCATTTTTTAGAAACAAAACGACCTAAGCAATTCGTACCTGTATTTAGAATTACGCGAACAAACCAAAACGTACTATTCTGAAATCAGATTGATTCATCAGTATTGTATATTTATACTAGTAAAGTTACAGAAAGAAAGTCAAATGAACAAAATGGGAGTAATGAAGAGAGTTGGAGATGGATGAATTAGTGTTATGATATAATAGCTGACTTTCTCATCAACTATGCCATCAAAAATAAATTTAGTATCAAAACGACAGGTTGTCGCTTAGGTTTATTTATTTGAACACATAAATACTGGTACAAAGGGGCACCGGATACATATGCACCACACAACTCACTTGATTTGTGTGTGGGATGTGATATTGCCCAGGTGCCAAAACCGAAGCAGGTAGTTTTCTTAGGAGGCCACACCCACAGTCTTCGACCTAAAGATCTGATTGACAAGGCAGTGGAGCAACGTTAGGAGATGCAGTCTCATGGTAGCTGGGTGACCAACAATACGTTCATACAGCATTTGTTCCCTCAGGATCCTGTAGTCCATATGTACCATTGATTTGGAATCATGATTCTCAACTCGTCTAGGTGGATCTTCTGTGTCAATCAACCCGGTTATGTTGTCGGGCATCGGCTTTTCGTCCTCTCAATTTCGTAAACAACAGTAATGCCACGATAAGGCAGTGAACAGCATTTCCCTGACAGTGACTGTATACGCATGGCTATTCGACATTACTCCGTGTTTTGGGGGTTAAATTATTTTTTGAATAACACATGAAAAGAGGTTTATAAAATTTTGTTGATTTAATGAGTTAGTGTGAAAACTTAGGGTTTTTTAATTATCAAAACAATAAATTCGGTAACAACATGTTGTATGACATCAGTATTATTAGCCGTTAATAAAATTGAAGTGAACACTGTGTCACATAAGTTACAGACGTCTTTCTTGGATAAAAAATAGTTTAATAAATAGCACGCAAAACAATAGGAATGACAAAGAAATGTAGCCACCATAAGAAAAGAGATCACGAGGTTAATAATATAAATAAATGCTTAAGAGCAATTACACATTGTTATAGTGCGACACCTTAAGCTGCCTGCACTTTAATGAATGACAATTCGTCAAACTACTGGATATTAGTTAGTAGTATGATGTGATACAGAAAAACAGATAAAAAGAAAAAAAGCAAGACTGCATTAACGTATGTATTCATCTCAGGCGACATGCGAAGTAAAGTTTGTATTATTCAATGTGATATAAGGGAAACAGAATACTGAATTCTGAATGAATCGTAATTCGCTCACTTATTTGCATTCTTTTACAAAGTTGGCAAACAGATAAGTTAGGTTATGTGATTAGTGTAAGAAGTTGTGAAAACTTGACATATTATTTCAATCACTTGTTCTAAGTGAGTGAGAAAAGCAGTGAATGGAGAGGTGATTTTAGCGTACATATAAATAAAAATCAGTTTGGCAACGACCATATAACAAAATAAACAGTAATGAAATAATGATGACAATAACAAAAAACAATAATCTATCAAGATTGTTATTATTATTAGTTATTTAGACACATAAATATCGGTACAACGAAGCACCAGATACATATGCACCGCACAAATCTCATTTGATCCGTTTGAGGACTGTGCTACTGCGCAGGTGCCCAAACTGAAGCAGGTGGTTTTCTTAGAAAACCACACCCGAAGCCTTTGACCTAAAGGTCTAGTCCACAAGTCAGTGGAGCATCGTGAGGAGATGCAGTCTCATAGTAGCCGGTCACCAACGGTTGAACCATACACCATTTGTTCCCTCAGGATCCTGGAGCCCATGTACACCATTGTTTTGGAATCAAGGTTTTTCAACTCCCTTAGGTGGACTAGCCGTGTCCACCAACCCGGTTAATGCGCCGGACATTCGCTTTTCGTTCTCTCAATTTCGTAAACAACAAAAATGCTGCGAGAATGCAGTGAGTGGGACATCCTTGACAGAGGCTATATACGTGTGGCCATGTAAGAGCATTTGGAGAGGGAAAGCGAACTCTCCCCACTCTCGACCATACCAGGGCATTTGAGGCATTTGATACATAGATCGGGTTTGAGTTTCTTTATTGACATTGCTTAAGGAAACCGGGAAGACTCTGAGTTTTCTTGTCTGTTAGTAATTCTGAAGTATTATGGAATGTCAATAGTATTCCTGGTACCAATAAAATCCCGAGCTATTGAACTGTTTAGAGCAATTGCATCCATCTCAGTTTTTCATTCTTCGGAACGTGCTTGAAAATGAGTAACAGCATTTTCAAATTTACATGTAAATGGCAAGGCACATATATTTTAGGAACAAGGATAAGAGTACGTGTGTTCACTCAAAATTAAGAATAGTTTCGCATTTCCGACTTGATCTATTTTTAAAAAAATGAATTGGTGGATACAAACTTTTTATAATTATTCTCTTTTAAAGGCCAAGAGTTTGGTGATAATGACGATGATAAATGTATAGAATCTATCTGTCAGGGTCCTATTCGAGCTGTAACAACATCTTTGTCAGCAACACCTATAAAGTCGAATGTTCCTTGTTTAACAAATTCGCAGCATGTAGTCTCCACTTCATTCCGCAATACAATAAATACTCTAAATGGAAGTAATACAGAGAAACCAGTTAAACCACCACGAAGACTTATTAATAATACATCCTCTTCTACTGAAGCTCTGAATAAATCTGGAAAGACTATATCTAGTCGATATTATTCTCCAACTTTAAAAAGTTCTCATAATCCTTCAACTTCACAACAAAAGTTTCCTCATGATATCCCTTTTCAACATCGAGGTATTGTGAAAAATATGATAAATAGATTTCAACAGCCTTAAAATCTAGATTTTTGTTTCTCTCAATTAATCTGCTTTTCATCTTGTCATTTATATTTTTTCATTACAAAAATCCATCGCTTCTTGCTAACTGACTAAATTGATTTTATACTTACCGGTTCGTACAGATTCTTTTTCCATCTTACTTTTATTTATTTAAATAAATTATACTACTTATAATAAATAGTAGTTAAAATTATTAAGTGAAATTATTGTACCGTTTGTTTTTACATAGCAACAAAAACATTCTAATTTGCTTTTGTCCATTAATTCTGTTTATTTTAATAGATGGAAGAGAATATTTTGTCTCGTTTCAAACTGATACATATTTATTATCTACTATTCAATGATATGTACTTTATCTTATATGTTTATAAGTGTATTAAGGTAAATTTGTTGCTTGTTTTTCAATAGTTATTTGTTTTCCCGTTATGTTTCTTCAGTTTCATTTTCCAGTTTATCAAAGTTTATAAATCGAATTTTTTTTTTCAGGGGTGGGCTGGGAGTAGGTTATTGTAATTGTTCTGTTTTTGATTCATCTATGTTTCTTTTTTCATTTGTACTTTTTTTTTGAAATCACTGTTTAGGATCTTATTATTTTCTCTGAATAACTTCATGACAGAGTTCATGATAAACTTCCATATAGGATCTTAAAAAAAGAAGTTGTTTATTCATGTGATATTTTGTTTCTTAATGTAGTTATACTATGCTTTGAGAATAAAATATTCCTGAACTAATTGATGAGATCATCATCATGATCTATTTCATTTACTCTTGTGAATGTTTTAAATAATTATATAGGTAATTTACAGAAAATTACATATACTCTAATGTTTTTCTTTTCAGCATTTAATAAAGAATATTTGTTAGCTTATTATAAAAGTATTCATATTGTTGTATCTGGGATATATTTCGACTTACATATGATTTACGAATTATAGTACTGAGTACATGAGTCTGGATATAGTTAATGATTTCGATCATTATCCAGTGTTGCATGAAACTTTTGCTTTTCATTATGAATCTGGCATAATATACTTATTTACTTACCTACGTCTGTTACCCGTCGTGGAGGAGCGTAAGCTGACAATCAGCACTTTCCATCCAACTCTGTCCTGGCAACCCTTTCCAGTTGTTATTTATCCTTTTCATATCTGCTTCTACCTCTCGGCGTAATGTGTTCTTTGACCTTCCTCTTTTCCGTTTTCCTTCAGGATTCCGAATTGGGGCTTGCTTCGTAATGCAGTTTTGTGATTTCCGTAATGTATGTCCCATCCACTTTCTTAATTTCTTCTTCATCTGGAAGTTGGTTTGTTCTCTCTCACAGTAGGTTATTGCTGATGTTAATCTGGCATAAGGCTTTGGATATTCTATGTATTATTGCTGAGTCAATGAAACACAATGTCACTGTGAGCTAGATAATTGTGTTAACATATATGACTGATAGTGGATGTGGATTAGAATCAGTTTTCTCTTTAATAAGATTTAACTTGATAAATTCAAATAAATTGAACATTCGTCAGGTTGTTATTAATAAAATTAATGTATTTGTGATGTTCCAAAAAGTAAGAAAATTAAGCTTTTAAATTTTATGATATTTTGTAGCTCGGTGTTAAGTACTTCTTCAGAGGATAAAAATGTTTTGTTCGGATTATAAGCTAACTACAAATAAATATAGGAAATTATACAGGATACAACTTAATCAATGTTAGTGAAGGATTGTTTTGTTATATCTATGTTTCTATTCCTTCACTACTCTTGGAAGTCTGATCAGCTCTAATGAGTTGGTGTCTGACAAAATCTCAGCACGGATCCAAAAAGCTCGTTTGACTCTTACCAACTTACGTCACATATAGAGAAGACGAGAGATCCGTCTATCAATCAAGGAACGAGTATACTGTGCAGCAGTTCGTTCTGTTTCACTTCACAGCTGGGAAACGTGGCCATTAAGAGTAGAAGATACTCGTAATTTACTAGTATTTGACTACAAATATCTTGGAAATATCGCTTTCATCCGCTGGGATCACTAGGTAAATAATAGTGAGATTAGACACGGGGTATTAGGGAATGATGATAAATCAGTTGATGAGGTTGTACATCTATGTTGACTGAGACAATCGGGCCACATGTTACATATGCCTGAACACCGATTACCACGACATACAATGCTGACTAGTGTTAGAGATGGTTGGAAGAAAGGTAAGAGTGGCATCAGCCTTAAAGTCACCAACATCTGATCTGAGCCATGTTAGTAGACGCAGAAAACCTTGTTGAGGCCCACGCGACTACCGTAACCAGTGGTTGGAGACTGGGTGACATGGCTCAGAATCGATCACAATAACGTAGGTGTACACACTCTTTGTCTTCCCTTAAACTGTGAGATTAAAATTACCTTATACATTTATTTCTACGAACTAATTCTTAACTTTTATGAATTTGGTGTTCATCTTGTTGTGCTAACGAGTTATGTCAACTTGGACCGATGCATATATGTGCCTGGTCGTACGTTTTAGCTGACTGACTGATTGATTGACTCTATGTTTCAATTTAACTAATGTCTACTGATTTTTATCTTACCACTATATTATTTGTATCGATAACTGCATCTCTGTGCTATTGTAGTATGACAATTCGAACTCATGTACGTACGTACGTACGAAGTTCTACGTTGTGATTGTCTGATTGACTGACTGACTGACTTTTATTAATCAATCAATCTTATTTGATAGTTAAATGAATCTGGTTTTCATGATTTCTTTTTCTGTTCAAATTTCTAGAAAAAAAATTTTGATTATTTAATATAATAAAATTTGAATTTTTGTTATTGTTACTATTGTAACATTTTATACAAAATCACTTCATTTAAACAAACAATGAACAGGAAATGAATTAAAAATTTGTTTTTATAAAGAATGTTGTAAAACAAAAAAAAAGAAAAAAAAAAGAACAATTTTTAATGATACATATTAAAAACAAAAAATGTGAGTTTATGGAGATTATAATTGAATTCATGAATTGATTTAAGCTAGATTACCATTATAAATCTGGAAGCACTTGATAGCTGTTTCATTCTAGATCGATTCATCAATTCAACTATTAAAATTTCTGAAATCTTCACAAACCCTAATTCTGATAATAATCATTATGTGTTCATTAGTGACTCGTTTCAAGATGAATTTCTTGGAGTTCAAGTGAGAAGCTGTGATCAATAGATTGCAATCTATATCGGGTGGAGACAGTTATGTACCGACAACAATGAAAGAGTGGTTGTGCAAGATACACGGACTGATTGAAGTTTAGACATTAACATAGTTGGATACCGGTTCAGTAGTCTACAGGTTAAGCTTTCGCGCACAAAACCGAATGTCCTGTGTTCGATTGGTATTTGAGGGATTATGTATGTTCACTGTGGAGGAGTCTCACACTAGAACAAGACGGTCATCCAATGGTTCGAGGTTTTCAATGATGGTCTAGCTTAGATCGACTCATGAATTGAACTATTAAAACTTTTTTGTTAACATTTAATTTTCATCAGATTAAGTATTCTATTCCTATAGATATTAAACAACGCATAGTTTGTGTTTATACGGATAAACTTTGAAAATATGGCGTTAATGTCACTATGACTACCACTACTGCGATTCGCTCAATTAGATTCTTCCATGGAAAAATAATTTCTCAACAGTCAAATAAATTCGAGTATAGTATCAAGAATGAATATTTCATTAATAGACTTTACTAGTATTTTCATAGTTGAAAGCGTGAGTCAATTAAAGCTAAACCACCATGGAAAACCTGGAATAACTGGAAGACCGTTTCGTTCTATTATGGGACTCCTTAGCTTTCAACTATGAAAATACCAAGTCTCCACAAAACCCCTTCTGATAATTAAGACTTTACTAGTGTTTGCAATTACTAATCTTCCTGTTGATTTCACTCTACTACTTGCCAGTACTAGGTAATCATCATCGTTTTTGTAGTTAATAAGTAGTTGATTCCATAGAATCAAATATATTGAGCATTAACTTATAGCTATAATTGATTCTAATAGGTTTAAATTAGGCTTAAAAATAACTCTGCCGTATGAGCAGTCTTGAGTACTTATCAGTCCCTCTTTCTGCCTAGCCCAGCCAGTTAAGTCCACAACACTAATAACAGTCTCGGCAATATGAGTCATCATTCTCAAACATACTGGGTTTATATACCACAATCAAACTGACCACATAGTACCATAAAATAGAAAATAACATTTGTACAAGATTTGGCCAAATGTGGCTGTGAATAGAGGGAACAGTAATTAATGGACTATGGATAATTCAAGAATGGTAAACCGTCTACAGATCAAAATAAAGCTTATATTAAGAGGGACACGAATATGGATACTTTAGTTACTTAACAATTATACAATAGGAAATATACATATCATGTTTGTCCATAAATAGCTCCCAAATTTACCACTCATAAATCTCCACGGGATATAACACATCTGATTGTAGATATTTCGCTTCTGTGACTATTAAAGTAGTCCGGTTGCAATAATTGGAAATTATACCATATACGTTTCTCAGCTTTATTGACAATATTAGTCAAATGTGATCTCTGTTCTCTATCTAGTTGAATTTCTTGATAATATTATGATCATTATCAGATCTATAAATCCTTCATTGCCTTACAGCATATATCAAAATGATGAAAACGGTTGAAAGTTTTAAACAGATTTATGAATGGTAAATTTGGGAGCTATTTATGGACAAACATGATATGTATATTTCCTATTGTATAATTGTTAAGTAACTAAAGTATCCATATTCGTGTCCCTCTTAATATAAGCTTTATATTGATCTGTAGACGGTTTACCATTCTTGAATTATCCATAGTCCATTAATTACTGTTCCCTCTATTCACAGCCACATTTGGCCAAATCTTGTACAAATGTTATTTTCTATTTTATGGTACTATGTGGTCAGTTTGATTGTGGTATATAAACCCAGTATGTTTGAGAATGATGACTCATATTGCCGAGACTGTTATTAGTGTTGTGGACTTAACTGGCTGGGCTAGGCAGAAAGAGGGACTGATAAGTACTCAAGACTGCTCATACGGCTTTTGTGTATCATTGCTCTGATCGATAATTCACTCCTTCCTAATAGGCGGTCTCATAACGTCATACATATCAACTGGGCAAAAACGCACTCAATCGATACAACAAGATGTAGAATGAATCATAGAATAAAGGAGTTTAGATGAATAAATAATCTGCATTTTACTAGACAATTAATATTTAAGCTATTCATTGAGTAAGTTTACTGTGAAAACATTTTTCTGAAAAAAAAACACTTGCTTACTTACTTACGCCAGTTACCCCTTCTTGGAGGAGCACAGGCCGCACATCAGCATTCTCCATCCAATCCTGTCTTGGGCAATTCTTTCCAGTTGTTATTCATCCTTTTCATATCTGCTTCTATTTCTCGGCGTAATGTGTCTTTCGACCTTCCTCTTTTCCCTCTCCTCTCAGGATTCCAAGTTAGCGCTTGCCTGATGATTCAGTTTGATGATTTCCGCAACGTATGTCCTATACACTTCCAGAGTCTCTTCCTAATTTCCTCCGTAGCTAGAAGCTGGTTTATTCTCTATCACAATAGACTGTTGCTGATAGTATCCGACCAACGGAAATTGATTATCTTTCATAAATAATCGTTTAGAAATACATGTACTTTTTGAAATAAGGTTTGTAGTAGTGCTCCAAGGTTCATCTCCACACAGTAGAACTGTTTAGATGCTTGTATTGAAGATTGTGACTTTGATATTCGTTGAAAGTTTTCTGTTTTAATCTTAGTAAATGTTAAAACCTGTATCTTGATGATTTTAGTATTAAAGTTATG